TTTTTTCAGTAAATTACCATCTCTAGGTGACCACGGTGATCGGCGAACGGCGAGTTCTCGGCTTGCCAAGACCGCCCCGATAACGTCAGTATTACCGAGAGATAAAGACGGCGGATAACGGCGGGATGGCGGGGTAGCTCGGGATCTGGGTCCGGGGCAGGTACGCCGGTAAATAAGGAAGTCAACACCGCTACGTACTTGATCCTGGATCACGGGAAGGTCTTGCTATGTAAGGGGGAGCCCTCTGTCTGTTTCTTTATCTTTAATGAGTAGCCTTTATTCTAACCAGTAATCTATACTGCCTAGTATTTATTAGTCACAACTTCACCTCTTTCTCCCAATTCTCACCAGGCAGGTAGCCGTAACTCACCTGTCCCCTGGCCCCTCCTCAAACTCAGGACCTCTCTCCCTGAACCCATTCCCCTTCCCGAGTCCTCACACCCTTCTCTCCTCCTTAAGAGCAAAACCAAAGAGAAGAAACAAAAGAAAACAAGATGTCCCCGCCGCCAATCCACTCCTCCTCCTCCCCCGAAGCCGTCAACGAGGCCTGCCAGACCTTCAACCTCTCCGCGGCGGAACTTTCAACGCTCCGCGAGCGCGCGCAGGCCAACAAGGCGCGAGCGTACTGCCCGTACAGCAAGTTCCGCGTGGGCGCCGTGCTGTTAACCCAAGACGGAACTTTCATCGACGGCGCCAACGTCGAAAACGCAAGCTACCCCGTCGGCACGTGCGCCGAGCGCGTGGCGTTTGGGCGCGCCATCGTGGATGGGCACGGGAGAAAGGGGGGATTCAAGGCCGTGGCCGTCGCGACCGACCTTACTGCGCCGGGCAGCCCGTGCGGTATGTGTCGGCAGTTGTAAGTCAGCACAGCATATTCGAGTCAATCGTGATGAGATTGAATAAAGGGAGCAAGAGAGAGAGAGGGATAGACTCTTACTGACAATCTTTGCCTCGGTGGCAATGGAATGGGGGTTACTAGTATGCGAGAGTTTTGCGATCTGAGCATGCCCATTTTCATGTTCGACAAGAACGACAATTTCTCCGTCTTGCGGCTTGAGGAGGTTGGTGGTGGCCCAATCTTTCTTAATTTTGACTTACACAACGCCCCGCTCCTGTCCCTGTCAGGATTGTCGCTGATACTATCATCACATTCTAGCTCCTCCCCCTATCATTTGGTCCCGATAAGTTGGGAGTTCCAGACTCTGCGCAGAGACAAGCAGAGCAGGCATGAATCATATGATCACGGGCTCTATTTGCAAAGACAAGGCTATGTATGTATGACTTCAGTCCATGGGGCGTTCAAATGACGGTCTCGGGAGAGTTGTCACTTAGAGACATGGAGCGATCCTGTCTAGGGAAGGAAGAGGCATATCCGGTATTCTATGTATGTACGGGTAGACTCGAAAGGGTCATGGTTTGTGACCTTCAGGAGTTAAGGCTTGTTCCTATGACCTCACAGTGGAAGAGTGGAATATAATTCAATTCCCTGTTTCCCGCTTGCCTATTGCCTGCCCTGATCCCGGTCCCAGAAATGCCCCAGTCTCTGCTTTAAGGAGTCCTTGAATGGTTGCTAAACTATATGCCCAACACCTCATCAAATGACAAAACCATGACACCAGTCCATAATTCCAAAGCCCAGAAAACCCAAAATGCCCCATTCCAAAAGCAGACAATTCTCTATACGACGGTTAACCCGCTTTAATACCCAAACCCGTCATGCTGATGCATGGGACATCGTCCCGGATGCCTCTCCCACCACGCAGCGATGCACCTTCTATGAAACCGGCACAGGCACTCAAGCCTCGCCATGGCCACGCCCACCTCAAACTCCTCCAGACAAATGGTGCACTCGGCCGAGTCGACGCAGTCCTTCTCGGTCGCCGTGTACGGGAACATGCCCGTCCGCCTGGGCAGCACCGGCAAGGGCGATCCCCCACCTCCGTCCGAGCCCGATACAGAGGACCCCGACGGGCCGCCACCTCCATACCTGCTATGTGTCGCAATGCATGTGTTGATGTGCGACTCGCGCAGCGCTTCAAAATTGGCAAGCGTGCGTGGTGGGAGTTCGCGGTGACAGACGGGGCACTCGTCTTCCTCGGCGATCTGTGGAGGCTGTGGCGTGGTCGGAAGTCGTCGGTTCGCGGCTGAAGATGGTCCGGCAGAAGAGCCCCCCGATCCGTCGAGCACGTCCAGCATTGACCGGTAACGTGCGGCCATGCTCGGATACATGTGCTCGATCTGGGAGGAGGTTGACGGGGGTGGCCGATAGTAGGCAGGCGGAGTACCCGAGAGGATGCGGCTCTGAGCGTTCAGGGGGTAGTGCTGGCCAGAGGGGCGGGAAGAGGATGGCGCGCCGGGTTGCTGAAGCTTTAGGTTAGTTTCATCTCAGTAGTAAGAGAGGCTGGAAAAGACGGGAACAAATGTACCATAGTAACGCTCCGGCTCCTGCCATGCCCATCATTTGGAGATGCGGCGCCAAAATAGAAACTCCACCTGTTGGAAATGGGGGCATTTTCGCTCTGGATCGTCGGACCAAGATTGCCGCCTGCCCTATCCGGACCTGGTTGTGCCTGCGGCGGGGCCGTGTTGGGATCGGGAACGCATGGATTACATAGCCTGACCCTCTCACCACCACTGAACTCTGGGCTGTACCATATCTGACTGTCGAGCAGCGAGACGGGTCTCTGAGCCGAAGGCGTCCCAGGAGGTCGTACAATGTATTGATATGGGATCGTGATGCGATGCGGCGAGCATGAGTTGCACACTACCCTGCCGCACTTGCTACGATAGGGGTAAGTAAACCATCACATACCGGTAGCATAGCGCCTTCCAGTACTCACCGGCAGTGATGCTTTCGAACAAAGATACTGAACTGAGTGTGGCATATCGGGCAATACGTCACTTCGGCGTCCGGCTGCCACCTCGGCAGCACAAGTTCTGAAGGGCGTCTCCCCTCGGTCACCGTGGGCTGAACAGTTGACGGGCCCGGCGCCGAAGTTTGTGCAGGGGTGCTAGGGGTTGCTGGCTGATTCGCAGCCTGGAACCTGGGGGCAGTCACACTGCGTCTCCGTGCCAGACTCAAAGGAGATAATGTAGGAATTTCCCTATCACTGTTGGGCTCGTGGGGCGCGCTCGCTGCCGGTCTTTCGGATTCGACTCGTCTGGGTGGCAGTACGGGCGAGCCATCACTCGACAGTATGAGATGCTCGGCGGACTCTCCCGCTTGACCTTGTCGTCCTGGTGTCTGTCCCGATGGCTCACCACTCCGCGTACTCGCACTCGCACCCGCCGTCTCGTACCGCGCCGTCGGGAGGCCTGGCGAAGGGGATCGAGCTCGCTGGCCAACTCCACCGGACTCCTCATCACTCGATGGAGACACAGCGCCCGGGCCCGCCCGCTCCGCAGAAACTCCCGACTCTATATCTTCCTCTTGGTGGTGATCTCCGCCGGGCTCCTCTTCCCGTTCTTGTTCACTGTCCGATAGCGCCCGCTCGACAACGTGAGAAGGACAATCGAAGTAGCGTGAACACTCTTGATCGTGGTACCGGGCAGTCCGCCATCTACACACAATCGGGTGCTGTAGTGTCAAACTAACACCGCGACTGGGAGTGTCGGGGCCTCTGGTTGGCGGCGTAATGCTGGTGGTTGGGGGTGTACCTGGTGGCGAGGACGGGCTTGAATCGTCGCGAGTCGCCATGGCTCCCGCGGCCGGAGCGCATCTGGCGCTGTTGATGTTGCAAGTCTTCGGTGGAACGTTATCTCGTCAAACGGCAATCCAAGGAGTCTCGTATACGGCAAGTATCTTTCTACTCAACGTATCGGGGTTCCCGATCGGTATGCAAATCTGTGTGCACGTGCTTCGGGGGACATGCAGAGTTTCGAAAAGGGAAGCGAGCAGACCGGGCCAGCGGAGTTATACACAGTGAAGACGTGAGTCAAGGGAGACGAATAGACAGGAGTCAGTCTGCGCAAGGCAAAGTGGTACCGGTATAGTATTGGTCTGGGCGTCGTCGGTGCTAGTGCGAGGAGTTTAGTGATTGTGCTGTGTTACAGGGCCGAGTACGGTACCGTCATCGCCTGGTGGCGTTGTTGGGCCAGACCACCGTAGTGCGAAAGAAAGCACAGCAAATCCCGCTCTAGGCGGTTCTATCCCAGCTTGAAATGCAGGTTGCTGCAATCTAGGTATCGTTGCTTGATTCTGCTGCTGCTTGTTCAGTCGTCTATCTTGAAGTCCGAGGCATGTTACATGAGGCGGTGGAGGGGCAACTCTAACCCTGGCTCAATCAAGCCTAGTAGCTCGCCTGGGTATTGCAGTGATAAGGACACAACTGTAATCACCGGTTCGTCTAGTTGCATACAGTATAAATACATGCACGCACATGGATTTGCCTCCGAGTCCCTCAAGTTTGACATTATGATATATCAACCTGGAACTGAAGTCTTCTCTTTTCGACTACACACGTTCGAGACACGGAAATGTTGTCGTGCCATGACGCTATAAGACCCCAAAATAGGATGACGACCTTCCAACTTACAGTATTGAAGGATCACATCTGCGGGTGCAGCATGAACGAACTCCTGTCTATTCAACTTTTTCACTTGATTCCCGGTATTGAGATGCTGTATCCGTAATAGGGTTCGCCTTCTGCATTTCAATCTACAATCCCGCTATGAGGTGAAAGCAGCTGTGATACCACGGAAGACAGACGGTCCAAGCATGCAACGCACATATCGGTAATCTGGGATGTTTACTACCTAGTATCCATAAGACCTACCCCTCTGGCTTATATGCCCACACTAACGGGCCATCTGAGGCTGTTGTTTCTCTTTCTCCCATTCTGGCAGCCAGCTGTTTCCATGGATGAGCTAACAAGCAACCCTTACTTTGACTCCATAGCCGATAACGATCGGAACTGGTTAGAGACTGGATGCCAACCTCGGATGAGGGAGTGCCATCGGGTATCTGTGCTGGCCATATCCGAAGATGGCATGGCCGTGATTTGCAAGCTGCTTCTCCCAGCTCTCCATCACCTACGAGCAACAGCAAATATCCCTCCATTATCCTGCTCTGGTAAGCCGAGAAGGCAATCCTGATCTATATATACCTCCCGCTCCTTGTCCAACAAGCTCATCGGGACATTTCGATTGAACGGATGGCCTACCCGGACAGAGACAATCCACGTAGGGCTACCGACTGCAGCGAGCCAGTGACGACGAGGCTCTCGGTGATCGGCTGCGATGACCACTCATCTCTTGAGAGGCCATTCACGGGACTCGGAGAGTCACACCCCTGACGTCGACGTGGTGGACATTGAACCGATGCCTTCTTCTCGTGCATTCTCGGTTCCATAGCATTCTCGGTCTATGGACGTATAGACAAAGACGCGGCATTAGACCCTGGCGGCTGGTAACCAACAGGGACTGACACGCTGACCTTCCAACTTTCGAATGTTGCAACGACGGTCTCGCCTTGAATTGTTATTTCCTTCCAGGCGAAACCACGAGCTTGCCATGGCCTGCCCACTTTCCCACCGCGTATTCTACCCCGTGAGAGGCCTTGGAACGATTTACGCAGCCGCCTGTGGACCTGAGATCGTCTAGGTGATGCGTCATCTGTATCTACCATCAGAAGGACCTGTCCAGACAAAACCCAGGACTTCCAAGTGGCGAGCGTGATGCTGAGCATGCAGGAACCAAGACGACAGTGCGATACACAAGTCGGTTTATCCTTTGACCAAGCCGCTCGACAAACAGCACAAGATCTCGGAAGACAATGGCGGCCATCACCTGTAGCCCACATCACGCCAACTCTGCTCAGCCTGAATGCCGTCTTGTACCACCATGCTAGGATCCCGCCGCAGCGCAGGGATTGCCTCGAGGGCAAGGTCCAGAGTATAAAGATGCCCATCTCGTCAGCCTGTTCGGATCCTGCCTCATCAGCACACATCAGCATCAGCACCAACATCCCCAACATCAACACCATCCACAAAGCCTCACACCATCTTCATCCCTCAGCACACACCATTCGACCAAAAGGTACGCTTATACAACCCAAACGATCCCGAATCCTACCACGACCGACGAGCAATAACCGAAAACTAACACACCTAAATAGGCAACCATTCAAAATGGCTATGAAACTTTGCGACCACTGGGAAGTCCATAAGTGTGACAACAGGGTCAATTCGGACGTGGCCTTGTGCGCCAACTGCGTGGACTGCAAGTGCGGCTACAACGCATGAGCGGGCACAGCGCCACCTCATCCCCTTGCCCCTGAGGGCCGGGACCCAGATAGGATCTAATGCTCAAGTACACCAGCTTCATCCATGTCTGGGTCACCGGTTCCCCTTCGAAGCTACCTAACTGTCTGGCATCATTACCAAGGCAACTTGGGTAAGGCATCTCTGTAACGTCGTTTTTCGCTTCATTGTTTCTATGTACCTCCGTAGCTCATACCATATCAAAAACGAAGAAAAAATACCACGCTCTTTTTGCCTTGTAACACCATGAATGTATGGGAGTCTCTTGTGTGATACCAAAAGGAGGAAATGGCTGTCGATTACTGTCTGTGCAATCCAATCTTTGCTGGGAAAATGGGCTCGGAACTTCGGATGCTCCCAGTCTTGCTGGGCTTGCGCTCGCTTTGATGAATGAGTAAGGACATATATCGTACGTTAAACGGCATACAATACGGACTTATGATCGACAATTACAGTCGAATGTCCAGTTGACCCTTGCCGCCCGTTTTAAGATCAGCCTTCCGTTTCCGTGCAGATCAGGGATGTGAGGAAGCTTATTGGGTGCTCCAGGCAACTTAACCAGATTGCTCAATACAAAAATCTTATTCAACCAACGATGGACCGTGAGAAGGGAACAATAGGGAGACACTGGTGGGTTTATCATTTCATTTCGTGCCGGAGTATGGTGCGGTTGCCGCCAAGTTCGGTTTCGCAAACGCAGAAGAACCCCGAGTAAAACTCCCGCGCCGATGATGCCCATAGCCCATTCATGCTCCTTAGAGATGGGGGCATCGATTTTGGTCTAAATAATCCACATGCCAGCCAGTAGCCCCATTCCAGAAGGCAAACAATTGAGGTGCCCGGGATATCAGAAACAATCCTCACAAGTCTATTTCCGCCGAAAATAACTCCAAACATCGCTTCCCCTGAGAATTAAATAATACGGTCCATGAGAGAATCGAAGAGGTAATAATAGTAAGCTTGCTCAGATGCAGTCGTCAATGCCAAATCGGTCCCTGTAATAAAGTCGGTCATGCGCGTCTATGCCAGGAAAGCGATACCGGCACCGAGAACACCGAGAAGCACAGCGGGCTGAACAAAGAGACCACCAGCGGCAGCTGTAGGGATGGTGGTGGCAGCCGCCGTTGTCTTTGACGGTGACGACGAAGTGACCCCGACGAGCGAGGTTTGAGTGACAAGAGGCTTCGAGCTGCTGGGAATGACGATTGACGACGGATGGCTGGCGGTGGGGCCGACGGTGCTGGTCGAATTGGAGAGAGGGAACGCCCAGGACGTAGTAGTCGAGGTGGCGGTCGAGGTGCGGCCAGGGCAGTTTGTGGCCGTCGGATTGCACGACGTGATGGTGATGGTCTTGGTCAGAGTTTGAGTCGACGTCGTCGTGATGTCGGCCTCAGCAGTGACCATGGAGAGGCCCGCGGCCAGTACGGCGATAATGCTCTTGAATTGCATTGTGTTGGTCCGTATTGGTGTTTCTGTTTTCTAGAGATCGTGACCAAGGATGCTGCCGGGGCCAGCGCTTATGCGAATATGTCGACAGGCTAAGATCAACGAGACCCGCGTCTGTTATGGTGAATGGAGCAAAGGGAACAATGCTGAAAATCGTAAAGTTGATCTCGATAGGCGATGGTTGAATGAGTGTAAGGCTGACGCCGGAATGGTGAAGCAAAAGAGCGTGGACAGCTGCTGGGATGGCGCTGAGAAGGTGAGAGATGAGGAGAGGGAGCGGAAGCCGGCTAGGAACGTGGGAGCATCGTCCTTTTAGGCCGCAAAAGCAATTTGGGAGATGGCACGCCAAGTCAGATTGTCTCTGTCGTGCAAGTGCCACTGCAGCACTGCTTGCCTGCACCACGCTAAGAGCCGGTACCTTGCAGGCGCAAAAGTTGGAAGCCACTTTTTACAACGGTCGCTTTCTATTGGTCTGCCAGCATATAATCTGCAAGGCACCGAGCATGGGTATTTACAACGCGGCCAATTGCATCGCAAGTGGTGGGTCAAATCAATTGACAACTCTCAAAATCCCTGCTTCCATCCGAGCTGAGGGCCACGAACTTCCACGAACTTGGGCGGTGATGCGTAACAACTCATCATGCTTATCATTCGCATTATGATTTTCTGAAATGGCGAGGGTTTCTTGGTTGCCACGTTTCGTCACACACTTCTAGTTTTCGATAGTCAATGTCTGGATGATACAAGCAAATCGCGCACAGCGACTCTCGCTCGCCGCGAGTTGGGGGAGGCGCGTTAGGAAATGGAATGGCACCGCCACACCAGCCCAACCATGTAGTATGTAAATTTGGTGTAACGGCAAGCAAATCCCGTCATGAATAACGGTGGAGGCCAGAGTCGCTGACATCGGTGGAATAAATGGCTTTTTAACCGTATATTCTACCTCTACTATGAAATTGTATGTATGACAGTACATACGTTCTCTGCCAATACAGACATAACCGTTATGGTAGAGGCGAATCTCATTGATTGAAGCACGGCAAACATCTCAAAATGAAGGGGCCCAACTTAACATCCAAGGATGCTTGGCAGAGGGTTATTTCTGGGGAGGTGGGGCTTGAGCAAGGAATTCTAGGCCGACAAGAATCCTTTCCATCTTCACTGCAGGGACGACATCGCTGGAGTAGGCCATGCCATAATCAGCATCAGTTGCGAACAAGAAGCCCTAACCAAAGCAATGCCTAGGACAAACGCACAAAAATCTCCGTCAACCAACCCACCGTTACAGTAACTCCAACACACAGTATTTCCCTTCGTTGGGATCAACCCACGTCATACTCTGTATCAAATGGGAGTTGGCCGAAGGTGACACAAACATGGCGTCTCCGCATCTCTGCACCACTCAGGAAGATGGGCTTAGATTAGCCCCAGTATCGTCAAGCTCGGGAATGGCGCAAGAGTCAACGAGAGCATGGCCAGAACTGGCACAACTGCAGCTGCAACCGCCGCAGCAACAGGCACACCCCGTTAGAACCTTGGTGCGGCATTCCATGCTATCGGGAACCCCAATCTGAAACTGAGGCTCCATCGTGGTGCGATGGGTGCTGCTGTCTTCGAGATCGTGCCGCTGCTTCTCAGATAGCCCCGTTCCTGCCCCGAGTTTCGGGCCATCTATCTTTAGCCCCCCGCCCCCATCCCGCTGCTCATGGTGTCTGCATCCTTCGGCAGAGGAGCCGATAAAGTTTTGTCCGGGGAGCATGCCCAACCATACCAGAGCGTCCTCGGCGAAGAGCGACAAGGCCTTCAGGCAGTCGGTTTCTTGCTACCGTCGATGCTCATTCCGGAAGCTTTCGGTACGCCGGTGGCGGGGTCTCTTGGACTTGTGCTTTCTCGTCCTCTTCCGGGACTCGATGGGAAACAAAAACCCGATCATGCACATGTTTGACCGTATATCAGGCGGGGGACGAGCACGCGTACTGAGATTAAGAACGACTGTGGAAGCCCTCCATTCTCAGCCATTGGACACGTCTCCAGGAGAGCACTAAATAATCCCTTGACTACGAGTAACTCGCTGGTTGCGGCGCAAGCGCCTGCGATGGCTAGAAGTCGAAGCATTCGGCCCCTTTGTTGCCTACCGATCAGTCTTTGTTCTTGCGACGACCAACCATACCTACTCTCAGCCACAGTTCGCGGGCAATTTGCCAACTGAAGCAAGTGTCGCGCTATCGAGGACAAGTCGGCCATGGGGTTGCACTGATGGTATCAAAGACGGCTGCCAGTGTCTCGGAAGTTTGTTCGCATCATGCGGTGGGCAAAACAGCTTAGTCCTTTCAGGGACGGCACGGTAATTCCAGCCAGCATGCTGATTGCGATAGCAGAGGCTGAATGTCGACGCACATGTTGATTTCCCCCTTCCACCTTTATTACGTCAAATGGGAGGAAAGGGTCGGATGGAGAGGTTCAGTTCAACATCCCGAGTATTGGACCTCCGTCTGTGCAAGTGTGAAGGTTTCCCCCAACCGCGGCAGAAGTCGTTTTCAGATCACCCCTGGTTTCATCTGCTCCCAGGAGGGGTTGCAGCTTCCCAACCACCCTGCGTAGTTTGCATTCAAAGGTTATGAGCACCAGGCAAATCAACACTAAGACGTCTCCGAGTTACTCTTAGAAGAGACATCATCTTTGGATACAGCTACGGATACCGCTGCTTGGTTTGCTTGTTGGTGTCTGAGTGGGCATTTCAACAGCTTCCGTTATCTGCCCCTCGCACTGCAGCTACCCCGCAATAAGTGGTGAATCTCAGAAACGCGCCCCTCCGTTAGCTGTTTGGGTTTCTTCCTCGGAGCCTGACCTCCAAGTCTGGCAGTCGTTCAAACGAGGAATACAGGGTCTTAAATAAGGGATCAAGAAACAAGCTCCCGTTCCCTTCGAATCAAAGGGGTTCCTGGCGGGACAAGGTGCACACCATGGCGTCCGAAGGCAGTGAAGCCAAGTCGTACTCGACTGACCCCGCGCTCTACATCTACACCTCGTTGACGGCCGGATCGTCGCACATTGTCACGGCAACGTCGCGGCTCGAAACCATCTTGCGCGCCAACCGCGTGCCGTTCAAGGCCATCGACATCGCGGTTGATGAGAAGGCGCGCATGCTCTGGGGCCGGCGCGCTGGCAAGGACGCAAGCGGCCGCCAGCGCAAGCTGCCCGGCCTGGTGCAGATGGGCATGGTCCTAGGTGTACGCCGCGTCTGCCTCTTTCATCGTCTTGAAATTGGACGACTAACTCTTGCCCGCAGGACCTCGTCGAGATTGAGGAATGGAACGAATACGGCGAACTCAAGGAGCATGTCACCTTCTATTACGACGAGTTCACCCAGCCGCCCATCAGCCAGGCCCCAAAGCCTGCACCTGCTCCAGCAGCATCAGCCAACACAACGACAGCATCCTCCAAGCCAAGTGCTCCCCCAGCAGCCATACCCGCGCCGCCTCCGGCGCCCGCACCGAAGACAACCACCACCACCACCACCACCACCCTCCCAGTCCGAAGCGTAGCCGAAGAAGCGGCACAAAAAGCAAAGCAGTTACGCCTGCAGAGCCTCCGGGATAAGGTCCACGGGAAGGGCTCATCTGCCGCCCCCTCGTCCTCAGCGTCGGGGCCACCACCACCACCACCGCCACCAGAACAACCCACCAAGGACGACGCCAATGTGACCAGCGCAGAATCATCAAAATCCCCGCCTCCTGCCGCCGCCGGCCTTCAGTCCCCGACCTCGAGCGGCTGGAAGGGGCCCGGCGCAGACATCAGCACCATGACGACGCTGCTGCAGAGCCCGCAGTCGACGAGCTGGAAGCCGGCCAACGTGGAGCCGCCCGTGACAGAGCTGCACGGGTCCGTGGTCCAGAGGGCGTCGGCTGAGGAGATTGCGGCCGTGGAGAGGGCCGAGACGATCAAGGAGGAGCCGGAAGAGGAGGAGGAAGAAAAGGATGATGAGGATGAGGATGAGGATGAGGATGATGATGAGGAAAGTGAAGAAGAAGATGATGAGGAGGAGGAAGAGGAGGAGAAAGATGAAGGCAAGGCAAAGATGAAATGAGATGAAGTGAAATGTGTCGAGGGCGAAACCGTTAAGCATAGCCTTGGGTGATTTGATTTACCGGGAATGTGTTAATAGCCACTGTCAATGTTCATGTCCCCCAATGTCGATAGTAAGTCATCTGGGTCCGGTATTAGATGCCTGCACGATCAGGGGTAGCCACAGAGAAATCCCACCATATCCAAGAGCCCACGACAATTACCATTTCATCTACCTGCCTCCTTCCCATCCAATACAATCCCTTACAGGATAAAACTAGTCATACAATGACTCGTCGCCACTTCCCACCAAGCCGTCCCCAAACGGCGCCGCAGCGACTTCCTTCCCCTTCCCCTTATCCCTGAATACGGTACTGACACTCCCATTCAACCCTCCACCACCATCATTGTCAGACTCATAATCCCCATCATCATCCTCATGATCGTACCCCCCGTCGCTATCCAGCGCAACCGCCTTCCCTTTTCCCTTGCCCACGGGCATCTTCCCCTTGCCCTTGCCGCCGCCACTACTACCAACGCTTCGCCCGGACGCACCCGAAACCGTTCTCTTCTCGGCCAGACCACCCAATCGGGCCGCTGTTCCACCTTCCTGCTTCTTCGCCCCTTCAAATGCAGCCCTGACGCGCTCATAGTGCGCCAGCTCCCCCGCGCTGACGCTGGGGACGAGCTCGGCGTGGGCGTCGAGAAAGTCCTGCTCCGTGACGACGACGGCGACATCCTCGGGCATGGCAAAGTGGTCGAAAAAGTAGGCCGTCGAGATGGGTTGTTGCTGCTGCTGCTCTCTCTGGGAGTTGATGGTCCTGATCTTGGCGTCGACGAGGCGGGCCTGCCGCGTGACCGCCTTGAGCATGGCGTCGGAGCAGAGCGCGTAGAAGTCGGCGCCCGTGTAGGTGAAGGGCAGCCGCTCAGCTACGGAGCGCAGAGAGACGGAGGGGTGGAGGGTGAACCTTTTTATTTCAGGGTTAGCGATGGATGAGGAGGTGGAATGAATGGGGAACAGGGGTTGGTAGAAAAACTTACTTTCTCGTCAGGGCCTCCATGATCTTGAGCTGCTTGTCGTGCGTGTCCGACACGCCGAGGTAGAGCATCTTGTCGAAGCGGCCGGGCCGCAGGAGCGCTTGGTCCAACAGATCAGGCCGGTTGGTCGCGCCAATGACAAACACGCCGCCCGTGTCCTCCCCGCCGGACATGCCGTCCAGTTCGGCGAGCAGCTGCGACACGATGCGATCCATGACGCCGCCGCTGTCGCCCTGGTTTCCTCGCTTCGGCGCGACAGAGTCCAACTCGTCGAAAAAGACGACGCAGGGCCTCGCGTCGCGAGCGCGCTGGAAGACGCGGCGCACGTTGGCTTCCGACTCGCCAATGTACATGTTGAGCAGCTCGGGGCCCTTGACGCTGAAGAAGTTTAGGCTGTACTCGGTCGCGATGGCCTTGGCGAGGAGCGTCTTGCCGGTGCCGGGGGGTCCGTAAAAGAGTATCCCCGAGCGCTTCTTCATGCCCTTGGCAAACAGCTCTGGCCTCTCTAAGGGCAGCTGGATGGTTTCGGTAATCGCTTCCTTCACGTTGTTCAGCCCTCCAACATCGTCCCAGGTCACGTTGGGAATCTTGGGCGCGCCTATGGCGTCGGCGAAGTTCTTGCGGGCGGCGTCCACGGCAACTTCAAAGTCCTGCTTGCTGAGGCCCAAGGCAGCCGGTCCGCCAGCTACCTGTACGTCCCGAATGGTCACGATGCGCTCTCCGCTGGTAGCTTTTGCCGACAACTGCTCCAGGCGAGACCGCTGCGCGACGAGCGCCCGCTCGACAACGTCAACCAGGTCTCCTGCCACGAGGGCGGCTGTTTTGAGGGCGATTCCGCTGAGGTCGACCTCCGGATCCAAGGCTATCCCGCGGTCATCCATGATAGACCGTAGGATACCCTCACGCTCGCACTCGTCAGGCGCGCTCATTTCTAGTTCATGGGTGAACAGAGCCCTGATACCGTCGGGCACCTTCTCCACTTCTGTTGTGGTAGCAATCAGTACCCTGGCGTCAGCCAGGATCTCCTTGATGGACGCGACCATCCGATCCGCCGTCAAAGCCTCGATATGGCGGATGAGAAGAGCGCAGCAGTCTGCGCCGCAGCTCATGGCGCGTTCCGCGCGTGATGTCAAAAAGCCTGCCGTCTTCACGTCGCTCCCTCCAGCGCCAGAATCGTTTACGATATCGTACGCGTCCACAGTAAAGGTGTGCAAACCAATGTCCATACACGCTTGCGATGCGGTTGTAGCCTTGCCAATGTTTCGTTGCGTTGACGTGAGGAGGATCGCCACGGGGGTCATTTTGAGATGGATCGCAGCTTTGCTGGTTGCGGCGGCCATGAGCTCCCGGAGTCTTCGCCTGAGCGGCGAGACATACCGTCGATCCGGCTCCACCATTAACGGGCTCTCGAGGCTCCTGGACTGCTTCGGAAGCTTTTTGAGCCCCAAATAGTAGCGCCAACTGCTTGTCGCTGTGCCAGGGACACGGCTCGTCACGGAGCCGGTCTGTTCCAGGTGGGCGAGGGATATGTCTATGCAAGTGACAGAACCCCAAGGATCCTCCTCCTCGTCGGCTTCTTCCACCCCATCCTGCTTCATCGGTTGGACGTGGCCAACCTTGAACCACGCGACCTCGTCGTAGCGTAGGTTATGGTCTGACCTGCCGCTGGCAATCATACCGAGGACATCATCAACGGGTGAATCGTCAGCTGCAGCGGTAGTCTCTTGCAATGCCCGGCCGAGTTGAGCATCGATGGGAACAGCAATAAGGTCTCCTCTTCTGACGATACGTAACCGCCTCTCAAAGTATAACTTCAGACCAGCCATGACCGCGGTCTGTACGTCCCTTTCAACCGGAATTGGAGTTCTAACATGCTGTAAAATAACCTCACGGGCAAAGGGCGGCTGAGTGTGATTTGACAGCTTGGATTGCGACGTCTTAGCGGCCTGAGTGAGCCTCTTGATGGGCGCAAGGCGCAGGTAAGGAGGGCTTTCGAGATTCGCTAACATGATGGGTGAGAGGTAGACGGCAGGGCTTAAGGGCTTCTGAATCTGGGATTCAAAGAAGGACATCCTCCGATCATCATATTTCGAGCTCGCAACCCTAGCCACCGGCCGGTTGGAATAGCCTTCTGGCAGCCCGTAGACTCTTGCTGGCCTCCAAACAGGTTCCCCTGCGTCCTGCGCCACAAAGCTGCCCAGTCCGAATGCCCCAAACCCGTTTGAGGGCGGCTCCCTTGCTGCTTCTACCCGCACCCAGTCTCCAGAGAAGCAGCCGATTCGGTTCAACTCTCTGACATCGACGTAAATCCTCGCTTCCTCGTCATCTTGGGGAGTCGGCTTCGGATGTAAGACATCCGGCGGAATGGGCCTCAATAATCCCTGGGCTTTGAACAAGCGCCCGCGTGGCCGATCTGGCCGGGCCGTCGTCGCGGTGAAACTTGAAAACACAGAAGCAGCGCCACTGATGCCATTGCTTTTCCGCCCTCGCCCGATTGTAGCCGGAGTAGCGATCCCGCTGGTTATGGCAGATGACAAGGTGGGGGCTTGAAGGGAGATCATGTCGTCCATGGAATCGTCCGACAGAGCGTCGTCTTCGGCCTCTGGCTCCTCAAATTCCGTTTCAGTCGCGGTAGCATCCGCAATGTCGGTCGGATTATCAGTTCGGACACCTTCCTCGGCGGCAGAGTAGAACTGGTCGTTGGAGGTATCGTAGTCGGTATCCGTGGCGCCGTTAAGACCCCGGCTCTGCGGCATCGGGGCTGACGGGCGGTTGTGCTTGGAGTGGATGCGGCCGGCGGAGACGATGATCTTGGTTGTGGGAGCCAATATTCCCTGAGCGACAGGCTCGCAAAGAGTAATTTTGCCGGGATTGGGCGGAACATGGGTGATGGGATGCGGCGGGAGAGGCAGCGGGAAAAGGTCGCCGGTATGGACGACCTTGAGCGTGCCTAGTGCGGCACGCAAAGCTGCCGTCAAGCGGGCCTCAGGGGTCGAAACCACTGGGGTTGTCCCTTCTTCGCGGATGGGGTGCTCCCGGAAAAAGGTGCCCTCCCCATTTTCCAGTCTTTTGGCCAGCTCGCCTTCAAGGCTCACAAAGACCGTGTCCAATTCTATGGCAGCAACATCCAGAACCAAGATTTCGATGCCACTCCGGCCCTGCGTTGCCAGTCGCGAGGGCGCAGCCTGCTTGAGATTCACGGCAAAGGACTGAAGGGCCAACGAGGAGGGAGAGAATTGGATGGTCGACGGGGCAAGGGCAGACGATGGCGTAACAGGAACTATGGTCCAGTCGGTTGTCTCGGGTGGGTGGATCGATGTCCACGGAGCGATTGCGACATGGAGGGCGGCAGGGAGGGTAGGCGATTGGTCGTCCTGGTTGTCGGCTGCGTTGGGATGGCCATGAAGAATCAGCATCCAGGACTGCGCGAGGAAGACTCGAGGTAAAGGGGCAGGACAACCAACCGTGCCGCAGGTGAGGAAATAGCTCATTGAACAGGTCCTCGGACACAATGCCCACATCGGTCTTGATGTGGTCGTCGAGGACCAGACGTGCCGAGACGGCTGCCTTGTCTTGACGGCGCCTTCGTACCCGTCTGCGGCGGACACTGCCACCCCCCTCGGAAGCGGGCATTATGAACCGTTGCAGAGGTCTGACGGCTTCCGGCGACCCGCGTTTGGGCTGGTGGCTGACCCGGCCACTTGGTCAATCTGCGGGCCGGGGATCGCTCCGGAGGCGGTACCGACTGTGCCGACCTAGTATACGCTCGGCGGCCTCGGTGCAGGTAAGATAAGGTAATCGGTACCGTTACCCAACGCCTGGGCTTTCGAGCGGGTTGCACCACGCTGAAAAGAAACGTCAACAAGAATGCAAATGCCAACTCTAACCCCAATTGAGTCTCAGGAAGTCTCAGGAAGCCATGTTCAACACAAGGACAACCCACCGCGATTCAGTGTGAGAGCTAGACTCGACGCCATGGTTCCAGCCGTTCGCAGATCCAGTGGTCTCGGCTTCCGTTTCGTTTCGCCTCGGCACATGGCAGGGAGGAAGGGTCCGCTGTGTTACCAACCCTAACCCTCTATTCTCTATATCTGGACGTTCACATTCACTGCATGTGGAATTGTGGATGAGGTGGTTCATGATTTCATCTCACCCCTAAATTCTAATGTCCAACTGTCCATACCCAAGGTAGGCCCATACTAATGTTATGTCACGCTGACCATTAAAAGTCAACTGGAAGTGTTGATCCAGCGTTCGAGAACAATACCTATTGCCTCTTTTATAAAGTCTAAAGGGACAGACACTAGGTTCGAACAGTCAGAAGTCCCTCATACTCACTCCGTCTCATTCATGACTGCACCATTCGGTGGAGTACATAGTACCAACTGCATTCAGTGCATTGGGTATACCGTATATTCTCACGAAAACCGCCCTCACCTACTGCACAGTCTAAGGCAAGCGACGTTTCTAGCCATGTATTCCACCCACTTCAAACCCCAACTTCAACCTCGCAACACATCAGCAAAGTTGACGCGCATTGCATAGTGCAAGGCTGGGATAGGCCACCAGGCTTGGACTGCGCAGTAGGGGAGGGCTGATTTCTCGAGAATATACGGTACAAGTCAAGCTCCCCTTCTTAATTTCATCTCCCACGGGTCGTCTCTTAGTCTGCTGAGGCTCTCAGTTCGATTCTTCGTTCGGCAACCCGAGACCTCTCTCTTGACAACCTGATATCAACTCGCTGGAGTTGCCCAGTGTTATGCCATCTGTCTTCCGCCGCCATTCATACCGCCGCCTTCCCTGCCACAATGCCGGGCAATCGAAATCGTGGCCGTGATGTCTTCATCTGGGACCTGAACGACAGTCAAGATCGTATTCCCTTGGGTGGCTTAATCCTCACACCGGGCATCACCAATACGGACTTCTGCCAGATGCTCGACATTCTTCTCATCACCTCAGATGATTACGTCGTCCAAAACGAACGTGGAGACGAGGTCCTACGAGATGCCCAGCCCCTTCTTCCTGGGGATTATACAGTTACTGCAGATAGTGTTGAGGTCAGTCTGCACTGAACCATTTTAACATCTCCCGAGCCTTCCCCGTTTCTAAGAACATTATCAAGGTCAACGATGAGGTAGTGTTCACGCGAGCACTCTCCCTTGGAACCGGTAGCCGGGTACGATCATTCACAGAACAAGTTCGGGCTCGCGACGGCCGTTGTGTTGTTTCCAAAGTCGAGAATCCCAATGCTAATATTGATATCTGGGCGGGATTCGAAGCAGCGCACATCTTCCCACTAGCATACGAACAACACTGGCGAGAGAACAACTATGAGCGTCGGATCACAATTGATCCACCTCAGGGGGGCAAAATCAATTCGGTACAGAATGGGATCCTTCTCGGGTCGAATCTCCATCAGTTCTTCGACATCTATGGGTTTTCTATTAATCCTGATGTAGGTTTCTTTATCATTGTTGTATATCTAGTTCTCGCTAACGTTATTACACTTTTAGAACGGGTACAAGATAACCTTTTTCGTTCGAGACCCAGAGCAAGTGGCTGGCCAAAGCCTGGACAGGCACCTGCTGAATGATCCCCGCCGTCCGCCCGACTCGATCCTCCGGTGGCATTTTCGCCAGGCGGTCCTTGCAAATATGAGAGGCATAGGAGAAGCTACTCATGAACTTGACTTCCCGCCAGGTTCGGATATAATGGGCGAGATCCAAGCCGGCCCCAAGGCCGCTGAACGTATGGAGTTCGAGCTATTCGACCGGCTGGCTCACCACATGGAGATCGTATGAGAGAGAGAGAAAGGGGCATTCTTCAGCTGTTGTTTTAGAGTGACGGCGCAAGCGTGGTATATGGGTACTACATAGGTAGGTTACTTCCCGTCTGCTACAATATCAAAGTTTAGACTTCCTCACTGTCGAAAGCGCAAAAAGCGGTGGGGCATGCCACTCAACTCGGCACCATGACTGAGGTGCCCTTTCTGAGTTTTGATGTGAGACATTTGTGGCCTATAGAATTCAAGGGCAGCGCGGCGTTGGTACTGTACGATTTTCACATGCTTGCGTACTCCGTACAGGCCTGGAATTTGGACACCACTCAACCTCCTCATCTCTCCTATTGCAGCCCCATTGGCACTTATTGGTGACGTTAGAGGCTGATACCATAGAGACCGTGTAGAAATTTGGCATCTTATTCTTTCGGTTATTTATTTTGTGATTGGGTTGATCTCCGAGAGATTGTTAGCAGTTGCCACATGGATCGCTGGGCTCGCCTCTTCCCCAGGTAAACCCCGTCCCTTGGTACCGGCTTCCCGACCCTCATCCGCCATGACGTCGATTGGGAACTTTCCTTCCGCAACCGTCAATTGGCCGTCCTATCTTGCCTGGCTTCGCTAATATTCACCTCAATGTCTTCCAACTTGAACATACCACTCTCATTATGTATTTATTTTTGTCTGTTAGTATCTATATCAGCTTCCTACAGTCACCACGGCCTCCTGTTGCAAGACTGCCCCACTTTGAATTGCCCCCTCGATTGATTGCAATTCCACCATGAAATATCAAGAAAGCTGCCTTCAGGAGACCGGTGCGCCACCCAATGCCTTCACTGCCGAACATGGCGACCATGGATTGCTTGGCAGGGTTGCTGTGGAGTTTGCGCAACAAGCCGAGAAGCTGTCGCACCATCACTTACGGGATGGCGAGGGCGATGATGTGGCGGTTGAGGCACAGTTCGTGACGCCGCACGACCCGGTTATCGTCACATCAGAAGGGAACCGGCTACCGACTGTACCGTTGCAAGAGGCTCACAAGTTGAACGTCCTGAGGGAGGAGCTGGAGGAGCTGGAGGGTCACAAACCATCAACGTCGCTTGCAAATGGTGACCAATTTCCAGATGGCGATGCCAAGTGGGCCGAAATTGTCAAGGAACATGTCCGCAGCCTCTCTGCAGAAGAGTCGAAAAATGGGACCGCAAAATCAACAGACGGGAGCTTGACGAGGTCGATGCCACCATCTCATACGAACCCCCTGTTTCCTCCCTTACCGCTTTATGGGCCGCCCTCTCTTCTCCGCGATCTCCAATGTCTCACGTTCCGGATATCTTCTTTCTTCCTCAGCCTAGCCTTTCTGGGCGTTATCGTGCTCGGTGCACTCTTTACGAGCCTCGGCCCCTGGTTTCGGCGCCTATGGCAGCGGGCGACTTGCCAAGATCCGGACGCTAGTCGCCCGTTCTATAAGGAAGAGGTAAGACGGGCAAGACTAAGAAATCAACAGGAAATGAACTGGACAAAGAAGGGGTCACCTTCGCGCTTCCGGGGAGACGCGGAAGGCCGCAGCGACGATAATGTCGGCTTCATACCTACGGAGGGCGGCCCGGATCCCATTGTGTGCGACCCAGCCTACTATGCCCGTCGGGTAGGCCTCGACATGGAGGAATTCCAAGTCCAGACCGAGGACGGTTTCATCATCGACCTTTGGCATGTCTACGATCCCAAGGAATACACCCCATTACCGCCTGAAGAACGGGGCCATCATGGCCCAGACATGTTTGCAGACGCCAAACGAAGTCGCACCGATAATTCGACGCAGAGGCCAAAATTCCCCGTCCTACTGATGCACGGTCTCTTACAGAGCTCAGGCGCGTATTGTGTCAACGACGACGATTCGCTGGCCTTCTTCCTCTGCAAGTCAGGCTTCGATGTTTGGCTGGGCAACAACCGCTGCGGCTTCAAGCCGCGGCACGTGCTGCTCGATTACTCGGATCCGCGCATGTGGTGCTGGAACATACGCCAGATGGGCGTCTTCGACCTGCCGGCGCTGACGTCGCGGGTGCTTTACGAGACGGGCTTTTCCAAGATTGGGCTGATCTGCCATTCGCAGGGCACTACGCAGGCGCTGGTTGCCCTGGCCAAGGAGCAGCGCCCGGACCTGGGCGAGAAGCTTACCGTGTTCTGCGCCCTCGCGCCCGCCGCCTATGCGGGACCTTTGATCGGCAAGATGTACTTCAAGTTCATGCGCGTGATCACGCCGGCTCTGTTCCGCCTCATGTTTGGAATCCATGCCTTCATACCGTTCATGATGGCCATGCATGCCACACTCCATCCGCGCCTGTACGGCTGGCTGGGGTACAAGGTGTTTGCCTTCCTCTTCAACTGGACGGACGAGCGGTGGGATCGTGGCTTGCGGGACAGGATGTTCCAGTTTGCGCCCGTCTATGTCAGCGCCGAGTCGATGCGCTGGTGGCTCGGCCGCGAGTGCTTTGCCAAGCAAAAGTGCATCCTGGCGACAAAGGAGGAGTGGCGCGCCGAGGAACGTGAGGATCACGAGCAAGAGCGGAGGCGGTACATCTTAGCGGCTGCGAATCCCGACTTTGAGGGTCAAGGAGACGGCGAAAACCCGGTGCACGACGCTGAGACGCATAGAAAGCGGCCCAAGGGATCCACGGCGTGGTATAATAACCAGGCGCCGCCCTTTGCGCTTTGGGTATGTGGGAACGACTGTCTTGTGGACGGAGACAAGCTGCTGCGCAGATTCGAGCGAGGACGAGAGCCGCATGTCAGTGTGGTCCACACCAAGGTCATCCCGGAGTACGAGCACCTCGATGTGATTTGGGCCATGGATGCCGTCGACAAGGTATTCAAGGAGGTGAGAGAGGTGTTGTGGAAGACGTGCGACGCGAGAGACATCTGTCGTGTCCCACGCGGATGCGAGGACGTGGCACCCTGGACACCACCCCCCCAGGCAAGTGAAGGGGAAGAGGAAGGGCTGCAGTCTAGCAGCAGCGAGGAGGTATCGCAATGAGTGTTGACTACGAAGTACAGTACTGTTCGTATCTGCATAGCACGGCGTTCAGTGCAGGGACTCAGGGATAGAAAATACCCGGTGATAAAGCTGTGAGCTGCAAAAAGAAAGGACGTTGGACAAAAAATTCAGGGGTTGCCACTGCAAGTGATGTTACCCGTGGGCTCGAACCTTCGTATCCCCTCAGGGGCCATTATCAAGGTAATAGTGGTACATACATACACGTACGAATACATTCCCATCCATCATTATCAAATAATGGGCAGGCAGTCCGGCTAAACATTTCTAGGCAAAGCTTTTCCGTCTTGGCTGGTTTCCTAAAGCGGCTCTAGACCCAACAGGTGAGATTGGATTCTCTACCTTTCCTAACGCAACCCATGCTGCCTTGATAATTCTTAATACGTGCGTGGTAGGGACGATATGCGCGCTGGGAAGACATGGCTCTCTTTAATGGCTCCCGACGGTGGAAAATCGTCGGCGTTGCAATCCTCTTGACCTTCGTGGTGTTCTGGCTAGGATATCAGACCCCGCTTCCCGCAGTTCGAAGCAAGCCATTCGACTTGCACACTGAACCGCGGCCTGAGGCGGAATCGTCTCACAGCGAGACCCAGCATGTCGAGGAGCTCCCTGCGCCCGAAGCGACCAACAACCCATATTGGACATCATCGAAGGCAGATGATGTTAAAGGTGAAACCAAGATCAACGGCGGCGAGATCGAGAGTACTAGTACTACCAGTAGCACTCCCTCCCAGCCCACGGTCGAATGTGTCAGCTTCCAGGACTTGCAAAGACAAAGGCCCGAGCCCTTGTCCGAAGGCTGGCGCAGGTTTCCTTACGTCCGGCCGCCGCCCGAATGCAGGAGATTCCGGCTCCCCTCGCTGGAAGCACTGATAGAGCGCCTGAAGAAGGCGATCCGGGACCCGGACCTGTTTCGGTTATTTGAGAACAGCTATCCAAACACGCTCGACACCATGATCAAGTGGCGCGGCTATGCCAACAAGACGGACGCGGCGACGGGCGAGCAGGTAGTCACGGACGAGGAGCTGACGTATGTGATCACGGGCGACATCGACGCCATGTGGCTGCGGGACTCGGCGAGCCAGGTGTACTCGTACTTGCCTCTGCTGGAGCCTTCCGATGACCCGGACTCTCTGGCAAGCCTTTGGCGCGGCCTCATCAACTCACACTCGCGCTACATTATCATCTCGCCTTACTGCCATTCCTTTCAGCCGCCGGTCGAGAGCGGTATCCCGCCGACCTTCAACGACGCTTACTCAAAGAACCACCCGAACCCCCCGTATAACCAAACACTGGTGTTCGACTGCAAGTGGGAGCTCGACAGCCTCGCTTCCTTTCTCCAGATCAGCGCCGCCTACTATGCGCGCACCGGCGATCTCGCTTTTTTCGGCAAGTACTCATGGGTGGACGCTGTGGAAGCCGCCGTCAACGCCTCGGCCGCCATGCGCCTCGGCACCTATGACGACGAGGGCCATGTACTCCCTTCAGCGTACACCTTCACCGGCTGGACAGACCGCGGGTCCGAGACTTTGACCAACAACGGGCTCGGAAATCCGGTCAAGGAGAACGGCATGGTGCGCTCGTCGTTCCGCCCGAGCGACGACGCGTGCATCTTCCAGCTGCTGACGCCCAGCAACATGATGTTTGCCGCCTACCTGGAGCAGGCATCTGTCATCATGCAGAAGCTGGCAGAGAGCGGCATCAAGGCCAAACAAGCCGAGGGCCTGATGGCGGACATGCGCAACCTCGCAAGGGGTATCCGTCGGGGCATTGCGCGCGACGCCGTGGTGACTCACCGCGACTTTGGCGACATCTTTGCCTACGAGGTCGACGGCTACGGCGGCGCCAACCTGATGGACGACGCCAACGTGCCCTCGCTCCTGGCCTTCCCACTGTGGAACTACACGCGCCCCCCCGCAGAAGTAGTAGCGGATCATCCGCGGATGTTCAAATGGATCAAGCACATTCCCCGAAGTAGCACCAGTCCTACTAACGTCAGCACCACCACCACCACCAGCGAAACGAATTCCCGCGAGGAGGAGGAGGAAGGGGAGGAGAAGGAAAAGGAGCACGACTACGCCAAAATCTACCAAAACACGCGCCGCTTCGTCCTAAGCACAGCGAACCCTTACTACGCCAAGGGCCCCGTCCTGTCCGCGGTTGGGGGCCCGCACCTCGGCCCGGGAAAAGGCTGGCCCATGGCGGCGACGGTGGCAGCGCTCACGGCGTTTGACGACGAACTGGTCGGGGGGTTCTTCGCTTCGTCACGGGAACGCGACGAGGCCGTGGCCGAGCAGTTGTTTGCCGTGCTCAACTCGACCAACGGCACGGGCGTCGTCCACGAGACGGTCAATGCGTGGGACGAGGCCGACTGGACGCGCAGCTGGTTCGGGTGGGCAAACGGGCTGTTTGGGGAGCTGATTATCAAGATTGCTGAGGATGAGGAGCGCAGGGGGGTGCTGGGTAAGGAGGACGGGCTGTTGGGTAGGATGTGGCAGGATTGATTGAGTGTCATTTAGCTGAGAGCGAGCTGGATCTTGTTTGCTTTGGATGTGATGTATAAGGCTAGGCAGGGCGTTTCGGCGTTGGATTGGATCATGGATTGACCTGATACTCATCTCTCTTGGACAAAGTATAAGTGATATATATACACATATACTTATCGAATCGACCCACTTACTCAAGGCTATCTCCCATATTCCATTGTCAGTGTAGGGTATGTTTGGTCTCCTACCGTATCTACTACCTTGTAACGTTGGAGCTCATCATGGGCTGGTGCCACGGGCTTGATCCGCCTTGATCAAAGAGGAACGAACCCGCGAGGATTCGAACTCTAAACTTCTCGAAGCCCGGTGATAACCACCCTCACCATAGTAGGGCTTCGGATTCATGGCAAGAAAACTGGTCACTTATGCACCAGAAGATAGGGACAAAAAAATTGGTAGCGTCTCTTTGAGTAGCGTGTCATCCTTAGTGCAGGGGCCATGCTAATCTTCTCTGTATCGTTTCAACTGTGTGGTGTTGAGTTAGCATTTTGCAGAGTTGCAGAGTGCAACGCAAGCCCATTAGGTAAAACTTACATTGACCAAATGCCCCGAAGGGCGATTGTGTCTCCCGACAGGAGCCCCTATAAGCTATCAATCACAGCTGCCCCGCCCGCCACTTGGTATGATAGGGCTGATAAGTACCCCGTAACACTCGTGATAAGCGCTATGGCCATCAAGTCTTAATACGCAGTATACTAGAACATCATTGCGCCCGTAATTTCCAAGAGTGCAAATTCAATGTTAGGAATTTCGCATGCTCTTCTCCAGCAGTGGGAAGGGGGCAATTGAGGGGAATTTCTTCGAGTCCAGATTTTCGGGGCGGTGCGCTGTTTTATGCGCTCGAGGGCACTGCAGACGCTAACAACCTATCTATACCTACTGTATGTATGTATGTACAGTACTTTACCCACTCTGAGCCACCTAAAAGGGCCCACAGCCCACCACAAAACTGAATCCATTTCGCATGCGGGGCAGGTCCCGGTCACGGCTAGCTCCCCCTCCATGACGGGGAGATGGAAGAGGGCGGGTGAGGTCCATGTGACAGGGCCGTGACGGAAGGAATTATTTTCAACCTCCTACCTTAGCTGCATGGTGTACTGTGTAGGCGATTTTCTGCTAGTTCCCGCCTGCTAAGCTTGTCCTCGTTTCATTACCTGCCAGTGTCCGACCGGCGCGGCAAGTCGCGATTTGCTTGAAGGCCCGAAGCATAGAATAAATACCCGAACAATCGAATCCAGCACGCCATTGACAGTTTGACAACCATCTAGCCCCTTCACACAGACGGTGTCGAGTATTGGCCCTTGCCCAAGTCTCACCTTCCCCGCCCCAACACACATATCCATCCACGATGGCTGAGCAACAGCGGATCGCCATTGTCTCGGTCTACGACAAGACCGGCCTCTTGGACCTCGCCAAGGGGCTTGTCCAGCATAGTGTCCGCATTCTGGCTTCGGGCGGCACCGCGAGGTTGATTAGGGAGTCCGGGTTTCCCGTAGAGTATGAGCTCGCCCTAGTCCAGTCTCGGCTATTGAGAGTGAGAAATCGCTGACAGCACACCCACCGCCGCAAGGGACATTTCCGCCATCACCAAGGCCCCCGAGATGCTTGCAGGCCGGGTCAAGACCCTTCACCCCGCGGTGCATGCGGGTATCCTGGCTCGCAACCTCGCCTCGGACGAAAAGGACCTCGCTGAACAAAACATCGACAAGGTCGACTATGTCATTTGCAATCTGTATCCCTTCAAGGACACAGTAGCCAAGATCAATGTCACCGTCCCCGAAGCGGTCGAGGAGATCGATATCGGCGGCGTCACTCTCATCCGCGCGGCCGCAAAGAATCACGCTCGTGTCACCATCCTTAGCGACCCCAAAGACTATGCCGAGTTTCTGAAGGAACTCGAGTCAGGCGAGATCAAGGAGTCCAGTCGAAAACTCTATGCGCTGAAGGCCTTCGAGCATACTGCCGACTACGACGCTGCCATCGCCGACTTCTTCCGCAAGCAGTACGCCGGCGACGGCCTGCAGTATCTCCCGCTACGCTACGGTGCCAACCCTCACCAGAAGCCCGCCTCGGCCTACGTCAAGGAGGGCAACCTCCCTTTTAAGGTGCTATGTGGTGCCCCTGGCTACATCAACCTCCTTGACGCCCTGAACAGCTGGCCCCTGGTTAAGGAGCTCAGAAAGGCCCTCGGGAAGCCCGCTGCTGCCAGCTTTAAGCATGTGTCTCCTGCTGGAGCTGCCATTGGCGAACCCCTGGATGCCGACGAGCGCAAGGTGTACATGGTCGATGACATTGCCGGCATTGAAACCTCTGGGCTCGCCCAGGCCTATGCTCGCGCTCGGGGAGCCGACCGTATGAGCAGCTTTGGCGACATGATTGCTCTCAGCGATGTTGTCGACATTCCGACAGCCAGCATCATCTCGAAGGAGGTGTCCGACGGCGTGATTGCCCCCGGATACGAGCCGGAAGCTTTAGAGATTCTCAAGAAGAAGAAAGGGGGAAGGTACCTGGTCCTCCAGATGGACCCTGAGTACGAGCCCAACAAGAGCGAGACGAGGACAGTCTACGGCATCTGCCTGGCGCAAGGTCGCAACGATGTCACAATCTCCCCTGACTCTTTCAAGACTGTCATCACGCCCAAGAATTCCGGACCTCTACCGGAAAGCGCGCTGCGCGACCTCACCGTCGCCACCATTGCCCTCAAGTACACGCAGAGCAACTCGGTGTGCTATGCTGCCAGGGGCCAGGTCATTGGTCTCGGCGCCGGGCAGCAGTCGAGGATCCACTGCACCAGACTGGCTGGTGACAAGGCCGACAACTGGTGGCTCCGCTTCCACCCCCGTATCCTGAGCATCAAGTGGAAAAAGGGCACCAAGCGTCCGGACAAGAGCAACGCCATCGACCTGCTGGCCAGCGGCCAGCTGCCCAAGTCTGGTTCGGAGCGTGAAACTTTCGAGGCCATGTTCGAGGAGGTGCCTGCAGCCTTCACCGAGGAGGAGAAGAATGAGTGGCTGTCCAAGTTGACTAACGTTGTGGTCTCGAGTGATGCCTTTGTAAGCCCTTCCTTTCATTACCTCTACTACTGTCGTAGAAGGTCCTCCCCACTGACTGGACCACCTTCAGTTCCCCTTCACCGACAATGTCTACCGTGCCGCTCGCTCAGGAGTTAAGTACATTGCTGCTCCAGGAGGCAGCCAAAACGATGTGCCCGTCTTTGAGACTGCGGAGAAGCTGGGCATCACGTTTGTTGAACAGAACATTCGGCTGTTCCACCACTAGAAACATTCATAAAACATACGGTGCTAGGGAGGAACAAAAAAAAAACCAACGGAGATACCCATCACCTGGAATCTGCAGTGCACTGAATGTACTATTAGTGAATCACCTTCGGGCCCGGTTGCTCCGGACATGATTCTATCACAGCCAAACATGGCGGGCACGGGCGTAAGCTGAATCAGGGGGGGGAGGAAAAAGTTCAACACTTCGATAGAGGCTTAGAGATGGAAGGTATTGTCCACACTTCGTACACCTTGGTAATCGATCGGTGATCTCCTTGAGCTCCACCATGCCTATCGGCTTATAAAGATCGCGCGGCCAACCGGGGTGCTCTGTCCCAGAATTGTTCATACCAGCACACGAGAGCCTGACGAATGGTGTATTGCACAACAGAACAACATACGGGGAAACTTGTGTAAACAGGACGGTAAATTAGTCCGACCAAGACTGATTGTACACAGCTAGCTACCTATTTGAGGACCTACCTAAGTCGTGTCTCAGGAACGGCCTGTCGAAACGGTAGTATGGTGGCAAAGCGCCAGGGGAAGTGATGAAGAATGTCCACGCGAGAAAGTGTCAATCGTACAAATCACACTTAATCACCATGCTCCTCGCCGCTGCCACCACCCCCACCACCGCCAGCAGAAGAAGAATCCTTCTTGGACCTCCTAAACTTTTCCCTGCCCGTCGCAAAAAAGGCCTCGACGATTCGCCCGTCAAAGGCGCGGCCGTGCATCAGGCGCACGCAGGCCTCGGCCGCCTCGCGCGTCTGGAAGCGCACGCTGACGATGCCCTCCTCCTCCTCGTCGTACAGCACCACGTTGGTGACGGGCCCCAGCTTGGCGCACTCCTCGCGAATGTCCTCCTTGATGTCGAGCAGCGCGGCCGGGTCCTCCTGCAGCTCCTGCAACGTAAACATGTGCCGCAGTATCACCACCTTGTCCCACTTGCCGCCTTTGGCGCTACCGGCGGCGGCGATGAGGTCGTTGGTGTGCAGCGCGGACGGCTCGTCGTCGGACCAGTCGGCCAGCTTGGCAGACAGTTTCTGCGTCTTTTTGATGATCTTGGCTTTGTCCTGGCCGTTGCGCCGGGCGTTGCTGCTGCTGTTGTCGCCTTCGCCCGGCTTGTTGCTGGCGCCGGCTTCGCTGTCGCCGTCATATTTGGTCTTTTTGTAGCTCGAATCGGCGGCCTGGACGCGCATCTTGGGCAAGGTTTCACCGGGAGCGGGAAAGCGGAACTCGGTGTCGTCCAGGAGCATGATGGCCATGTCGACCGACTGCGGCTTGAAAAAAACGATGAGGGCGTCGCCCTTGAAGTTGCCGTCGGCGTCCGTGTACATCTTGATGCGCGGCCGGCCGCTGTCAATCTCCTCGGCGATGACGCCGCACTTGCGTGAGAAGAGCTCGGCCACCTCGTCGACGGTGGCGTCTAGCGGGAGCCCCGTCACGTAGACGGCCGTGTTCTGTTTGGGCTGCGGCGGTCCCCGATTACCCTGCTGCCGCCTAGCGGCTTTGTTCTTGGTGTGATTGTCCTGCTGGCGAGCAAACAGAGGAAACATCGAGCGGCTGGTCAGTCTCTCCGCGGATTTCGGATGCGAGCATTCGGAATTGCTCTTTTCTCTTGACTCTTCTTCTGTCTTTCATGTGCTGGGCTATGGGAGAAGGAATGCGTGGCGGCGTGCGGGACGGCCGACGCTGCAGTTGTGCATGCGCGCGCAGCTTACCTCGCGGTCGTTCGAGTGGTCCATCTTCCTCTTTCTTCCCTGCGGGCCACCCTGTCGATCATCGTGGGAGTCATCGGCATTGGGCATCATATAGCCTTTCTGCTGCTCCTCAATCAGGGCTTCGTCGATGATGGGGATCCAGCGCCTCAACCCATGATCGAATTCGTACTCAGTCCCGTCGTCTTGCACTGCAATGTACTTGTTGTCGAGCTTGGAAAAAGATATGCGCTCATCTTGGTCGAACTCTTCTGGATTGGTCGGAAACGACCAGTACTCTGCTTCTCCTGCCATGGCGCTGGGTTTTGGCTAGAAGGGTTGTTGCTTGCCGCGTGGCGTATGAATGATGGAAGGTTCAAACGAGCTCACCAAGAACTGCGGATGACGTTCAATTCAAGACCAAGGGGCTGACGCAACCCACTTACCCCACCACAACTGCGAGATGGGTTACGGTAAGAATTACAAAAGGTACTGTACTTTGTAACTCTCGATACCATACGATACGAAGGATACGTAGCATTCAACTGTCGACAAGTACCATGTACAGTATCTGTTGTGCAGCAATCAACCAGAGGCCGGGCGGACAACTAGTATTCAGACAGAGAGCCGCTCTATTTGAGGTGTGCGACGCACATTCGTATCTGTCCGGGGCGTATAATACAGAGCCGGCGAGGTGCCTAACAGTCTCTGGGGCGTAAGGGGTCAAGGACCGTGTCAAGATTCTCCCATGCTACCTACTTCTTCTGCACCGTCCTCTTCACGCCCTCCACAAAGGCCTCAACGGCTTCACCGCCGCCAAGGGGAACAGCTCCGCCTCTGACGAGGCCGCGGTTCTCCACCTCAACGCCTAGGGCCTCGGCAATGCTCGGCAGACCCCCGTCCCTAAGGGCAATCGTGAGGGACAGAAGACTCTGGCTGAACTGCGGACTGCGGAGGACCTTCTTGAGGAGTGCGCGCTTTTGGTCCGAGCTCATAGCCTGCTTGGCAGCCTCAACAGATTCCGCGCCGGGCTCTCTGCTGATGGCGTCTGCATCCTCTCCCTGCTGGGACATAACGAGCACTGTCGGGGGAAGATAGCCCAGCAAGTTGTCGACGTATTCGTCGGTAGCCGCGTCGAGCATGGGAATAGTAACGGATGTCTCAAGGAGGTCGTTGAGCAGGGGATAGTCCTTGCCCTCGGTTCGGCCGCCAGAAAGCCCAGGGGCGCCCTTGAGGGAGTCGAGAAAGTTCCGGACCGCGGCGGCAGCATCATTGTTGCTTGCCCTGTCAATCGAATTAGCACCTGTGCAAGCATTTCCATATTGGAGGCCAGTGCGATGCCGCTTTCACATTGCTCTTCGCCAATTGTTCGGCGGGTCGGTGTCTAGAAGGTACATGATGACTGCAAGGTTTCCCCATGCTATGCACCATATTCAGCCCATGCCCCCGCATGAGGATGAGACTCCCTTGGCCCACACACAGCACGCACTTGTATCCATGAGGAAAATGTCACCTACGCGCGGGCCCCGTCTGCTCCTCCTTCCCTTGCATCCTCGCCTTCCTGCCGGAAGTCACCACCGGTGGCGTCTGGGCCGGCACCTCCATCACCGCTTCCGTGATGCCCATGTGGATCGCCGTGGCCCTCAACGTCTTCCATGGTCTCGTCATCGTCGGCATCCCGCCGGCTGTCGTCGTCATTGTTGCGGATCGATGCCAACTCGCGGTTCACGTCCACCTCCTCACCCTGCAGGAGCCTGTCAACCATCTCTCCAATCTTCAAATCTCTCGGGCTGAGCCAGGCCGGGTCTCCGCTGCGACCCTGGGGCTTTGACTGGAGCCAGAACATGTGTCTCTGGGAAGACGAGGAGAATTTGAGGACGAAGATGCGGCCGTTGGTCTTGGAGGTCGCATGGCTCGGGGCGCGCGTGTCGTATGGTACAAAATGGCCGTCCGTGGGCACCATGACCAGATCGAGCTCGGGCTCGGTGAGGGGCACGTTTCGAGGCCGCCAGCAGAAATGAATTAGTTCTGTGGTTGCGTCAGCCCTTGACTTCCAAGCACCAGGCTATTGTGCAATCGCAACTGTACCATCTTCGGAATAAAGGTAGATGTAGCCTGGCGTTGGCCGAGCTTTGACCTTGAACGGTTTTGAGGATTGCTAGCACTGGTCAGTTGGACAGTTGGTTACAGGCGGGGCTGGGGGAAGGGACAGACATCGACATCGCAAATGCCGGCCTTGAAGGTGATAATCGGTGTTATTGACATTTCGTACCGTGATGCGATACTGCGTGATTCGGGCTACTGTTGTCGTTGCCAGTGCACTTGGGGGGACGAATATAGGAAGCAGCTCCTGGAGAGGTGGCGAACTGTGTCCTAATCCTTTGATAACCGACGTAGGCAAGGTACGAAACAGCTCTAGGGAGGTTTGGAAGTGAGCTTGACAGACCAGGCTGCAGCTGACGTGGGTGTGCAGCTCTGACCCTGCCACTGTAACCACACTGTCCAATATACTGTATCTTCCATCAACTTGGTCACGATTTCAGGTCCTGGGCCTGATGAATGGATCTTGAATACTTGACCAGCACACATGTAGTGTATGCTCTCTCCTTTCTCATCGACCAAATGCCAGCCGTCGTCTCTGGAGTAACTGGTTTCTACGTAACTGACTAGAAGAGCATTGGAGCCTGGCTGAATACGAAGTACGAAGCACAGCCGGGGGTACGTACGGAGGAGTACGAAGTACATACCGGGAGTAAGGAGGTACGGATACAATTCTTACGAATCACAAAGCATTCGTATTGATCCACTGGCTGACAAGTGACCACCGGACGGCGCAATAGGTATGGTAACGCTTTGATTCCCGGTAATTATGTACCATCACCGCATACAGATTCGTAGGCTGAGTGAAACCCCTGTATCCCGCATCATACAAGTTGTCCTCCATTTCTCGGATCTCCTAACTTAACCTTCATCGCCAACTTTTCCATCTGACTCCAGAAACCACCGCCCGCTGCAACAGGGCACCGGTCGCTCTCCAGGGCCAAGTCCATCCCCTGAGCGCTGCTTCCAGCCTTCCTTACTCTGCCGCTGCGTTGCACAGCTCGCTGGGCGACGCTCGATGCGAAACAGTGAGCGCAGCAGCAGACATCGCACCGCGCTCCTTTCCCTTCTATGTACCGATTCTCCTGATCCATCCTCGACGATCCCATGGCGCGCCCCATGGGGCCGGTTCGCCTGAAGAGGACGAACCCAGTGACGCTGGTCCTTGGTGCTGCTCTTTGCATCTTTATCCTATACTTTGTAATAGGCTCTTCCGCTCCCGACTTTTCTCCTTCTCGCAAGGCCACGGCTGCATCTCACCATCTCTCGCCGCCAACATCCCCTTTCCGCAAGCCAGCCAGTGGCAGCAAGCCGAAACCGCCGCCCGTCGCGCATTACAACCTCAATAATGTCACAATCACGCCGAATCCGCTCGAGAACCGCGAGAACATTCTCATCCTGACCCCTATGGCCCGCTTCTACCAGGAATATTGGGACAACCTGCTCAAGCTGTCGTATCCTCACGAGCTGATCACGCTGGGTTTCATCCTACCAAAGACGAAGGAGGGGAACCTGGCGACGACGCAGTTGCAGAAACAGATTGCGAAAACCCAGAAGACAGGGCCAGAGAAGGACAGGTTCAAGAGCATCATCATACTGCGGCAGGATTTCGACCCGCCGCTTGCATCTCAGGATGAGAGCGAGCGACACAAAATGCAGAACCAGAAGGTCCGACGGGCAGCCATGGCCAAGGCCCGCAACTCACTTCTCTTTTCCACCCTCGGTCCGTCGACGTCCTGGGTCCTCTGGCTAGACGCCGATGTCGTCGAGACCCCGCCAACCCTTATACAAGACCTAGCCAAACACGACAAGCCCGTCATTGCGCCCAATTGCTTCCAGCGATTCTACAATCCGGAGACGAAAGCGATGGACGAACGGCCTTACGACTACAACAACTGGCAGGATAGCCCCACGGCGCAGGAGATGGCACAACACATGGATCCGGACGACATCCTGCTGGAAGGCTACGCGGAAATGGCGACTTACCGAGCGCTTATGGCGAAGATGGCCAAACCAGACGGTCTTCTCCACGAGGAGGTTCCGCTGGACGGTGTGGGTGGCGCAGCGTTGCTAGTGAAAGCCGATGTTCACCGAGACGGGGCCATGTTTCCCCCCTTCGCCTTCTACCACTTGATTGAGACTGAGGGGTTCGCGAAGATGGCCAAGAGGTTAGGTTGGCAACCGGTTGGCCTGCCAAATTACAAGGTAATGCATTCCCCCACACCGCCGCTGAGTGGCGGACCCGTGGCGCTGACAGATGACAGGTCTACCACTACAATGAGTGACACGCTATGGGAACCACAATTCAAGGTTGCCGCGCGGTCACTCAGATATGGTCTTCCCCCGGGAATTTGGACTAGCGCAGGTTCTGTTCTGTGCGTCTAGTTGTAGACGTGGAACGGATGTCGGGAGTTTGGGAGATCGGCCAACGTCACGATTTGATACCCCGACTTGTTTACGGTAGCATATACGGGTGTAGCCAGAAGAGGCAGAAAGCCGCTGGCCCCCGGAAAGCCTTCCGTTCTGCTGAGTTAGAGAGACCAAGGCAGACGGCCGATATCGCCTAGGTTGCGGAGTTGTAAGATACCATATGCCATGACAGCGTTTATGAGCTTAGATACGATGGCCGATTTCAGGTTCATATGTTGGGCTGACATTGTCATTGCTAAGTAACGACGCCAGGCAGGCAGGCAAGCAAGTGATGAGAAAATATACGAGGGTTGGATGCGGCGCTCATTATTATGCTGCTGCACGAGTCTATAGGAACGATGCTGTTGATGTCCTGCTGTAACTTTTACCCTTGAGTTCCACCGTGAGATTGCGCCAGTCACTCCGAAACGTCCCAGTCTTTGTCCCTTAGAAGATTAAATACCTGCTTATGGACGAAATACCTCGCCGGGCAACCACCAGGGCTCAAGCCGACGAAAGGAAAACCACGGTCTTAATTTATGACTCATCCACATTTTTCTTCGAGGATGAGTGAGCATCACCCTGAAATAGATTATCACTTCCCCTCATACCTTTTCTCATCGACCCACAACTCAACCAACCCCCTCGCCCCAAGCACGTCCCCCTTCTGCAGGAGCGCCGCGACATCCACGTTGAACGGTGACTCCAGCCCGGGCGTGGCGAGCAGCACCCGGATCGCGCGCACGCACTCGAGCACGCTGTACACGGGCGACCACGCGTCCTTGAGCAGGTCCAGGCATATCTCGCCTGTCTGCAGGTGGACGTTTGGGTGGACGATTGGGGTGGCAAAGGCGATCTGGGGCGGTTGGAGCGGGTAGGTCGGGGGCACCGTGATGCGCAGGAGCCAGCGGCCGTCTGGAGTTGGCGGGGTCGAAGAATTAGCTAGCTGCTTGGAGAGGGTTAAGATCGGAGGAAGGGGAAGTGCCGGGAAGGAAAGGAAAGGAGGTGGGAGGAACATACGGTCATAGCCATGCCCGACCCCTCGGCCGTTGATCACGGCCTCCCAGTTGAGCAGTTGATCCTCGCTGACGGGCCCGAGCCGCTCGATACCCTCCTCGCCGGCCGACTCGACATTGTTCCACGTCTCGAGCTCCTTTAGAAGACGGCGGATGGCGTTGCGGGACGAAGAAGACGACGCGGCCGACATCACCGGGCGGTCCGTCCGTTTGTCTCTTAAACTTTCTTGGACTTCTCGCTTGTCTATTTGCCGACTTCTGCAGTAGGTATTCGTACTTGTGCAGGAGCTATCCTTTCCCAACGGGCTGCCGCCAGTACATTACAATTGGGCAAAACGTCCGAGTCAGGTTATACAGTCCGATGGATACCAGTAGTTGAAGTTTCCAGTCGGATTTGCTCGGACGGTTTCGTTTTCCAGATGCCCCGAGGTCGCAATATGAGCGTGGGAATCGTCTTTGGATCACATAGGATACCACATGGCACTGGCTGGCTATTAATGCCCTGGCCCGGAGACGCGCCTACACCCGGCGCGTCGTGCGCCGCTAGTAGCCGAGGCTAGGACTGCGAAACGGATTACGTGTACTTACGAGTAGCGTTACAGTACGGAATTTACGAAGCTGTCTCACACCATACGGAGTATTGTACCTATCTTATGGTAGTCGTAGAAGTTTACGGAGTAGAGCTCTCTACAACGAGAATCCCACGACAGCTTCAAATGTCGCAAGTAATCTCGCAGTGTAATGACTAGCGGAGGTACTGGCGTCGCTGTATTAACTGCTTCGCAAATATTCCCTCCGCATAAACGATACATGTACATTGAAGTTTGGTAATCAGAATCATCGCTACCTGTGAATCATATGTCCGTCTCCGTCATGTCCACCCCCAAGCTGCCACCAAGCGAGGCACACTCTGGCACTCGAAATTCCTGTCCCAAGGCTGCTGCGACCTTTGTCCTTATGTTGCCGTCAAAAACTCCATAACGTTAGTTTGCAAGATCAAAATCGCAAATTCCTTCGTATTCCTACACGCGTATCCCCGTCAACTCAGTGGCGCACCAACGCTTTGACCCATGTTACCCGGTCGATTGTCAAATCATTCAAGTTGTCATGTCGCATCGCTCCCCTTTGATTTCCAAAACTGCACCATCCGGCTAAGTCGCTTGGTTTTGCTAGTCTTGGCTTTCTTCTCCGGCTCGCTATCCATCGAAACCTCGATCGACAGCTTGCTTCTCTCTCCGTGTGAGCTGCTTATGAGCCGGCTCAGACTTGCTAGGCTCGAACGTCTTCGGCCAAAAGCGGTCGAGGTGAACGACGCCGGCCTCTGCTGGTTGGCTAAGGGTGGGTGCCTCGCCTGCGGATGTTGAGCATACAGGCTGTCCCGGGTCATGGTTGAATTGCTGCTGGTCAACGAAGGAATATCATCGACCGATATCCGGACCTCTGGGCCGGGTTCTCCCATAAGTAACGATTGGAAATTGTCCTCTGAAACCGACGATGGAGCAGTCGAGATGCAATGGGCATCGTAGGACATTGGTGACCTCGGCGACGGGAAAGCTGAGGATTGCGTCATCGAATACGGGCTAACAGGAGCTAGCGATGCAGATGGGAGGTTGAGAGGGCTGACTTCGACTCGAGCTAAATCCTTCGGCCGGAAGACATGACCGGGAGACGGAGTGGTAGAACCAGAATTGTCATTTCCCGGAGACGCTGCCGAACCCGTCGAAATTCCAAGAGAATATTCGCCGGCGGCGGCCTCTTCACAAGTTGCTGGCTCGGCTGATCTAGACCTCGTAGCAATTGTCGAAGCTCGGTTCTGGAGCTGGCTACCATCAGTCGGCGGCAGCACAGTACCGTCGGCTTCGGCCTGGATTCGAGTCATTCCCGACGGAGCAGCATCTTCATTTGATTGTTTCGCCGCTGGCTTCTCCGCGCCCGGCGTCTCAACGACCGGTGTTGACTGTCCGCCTGTAGTATTGGCTGAATTGGTGGCAGAGTCTTCCTCGTCCTCTTCGTCCTCTTCGAATACGTCGGCCATTGTGGAGCTGCTTCCAAAACGCGGGAATCCGAACCGCCCTCCTTCAAAGGGAACCAGCTCCGGAGCACTTTCAGCTCGCCGGTGGTAATAATGCATTCCGGGGCCGGAAAATCGGCTCATACCCGCAGCACTGTGCAGCTGCTTCTTAACGTGACCTCCAGCCCTCTGTGCCGCTTCCCATTCTGGATTCCGTGGTAATGGGGTATTGAAGGGACCCAACGCCGCGTCTAGATCAATCATGGGGTATGAGGTATCCTCATCCGGTAGGGTACCGGGGCTAGAGAATGTCCTCGTCTCCCAAGCTTCAGGGCCGGGCGACTTGGTTAGAGTGAGGGCGGGCATCGACGGCTCCGGTTCAAACGACATGTGCATCGCCCCATCATTACCATCAACTACCAACTCAGTATGCCGCAGCAAAGGTGGTGTTGGCGTTCTTCGCTTCTGTTTGCCATACCGGTATTTCCCTTTACGCAATAAGATGGAGCCTGCCCATGTTTTGACCTTCTTTTGCTTCTTGCTTCTCTTTCTGCTGGCAGGCTTCGGAGCGCTCAATGTTCCTTCAGAGCCATTCAAACATGCATTTGGAGCGCTATCCGCGGAAGCACATCCTGGCAAGCTGCAGGGAGTATCGACAAAGTGCGGGCTATTGGGCTGAGAGCGAGCAGGTGATCCTGTAACAAAAGGGTCGAGCCCGAAGAAAGACCACTTCTTGGCTGATCTGGTGGGACTTGGGGTCGCCGAGCCGAGCAGAATGGGAGGTGGCAGAGAGCCCAACAAGGGAATCGAGCCTCTTCGTCGGGGTGACGGAAGGGCTCTATCCTGTTCCTGAGAACTCTGAGTCCGTTCCATGACCGCCCCTGCGGTGCTTGGTCGGCTATCACTGTGTTTTGCGCTCTGAGTGGAGCCCAGGGGGTGCTTCATTTCCCGGTCAGCATTCGGAAGAGAAATGATAGACGAAATGCTGCCAGAAACAGAGTGCCCAGGCCGAACGGTAGCGGTGCTGGAAGTATCGGTGGACACCAGAGACAATGGCCTTGGGATGTATTCCAGCGTGTCCGAAAATCCTACTCGATTTCGAACAGGGGGCTTGAAAGCAGGTTCGAATTGAACGACTGATGGCGATGTATTTTGAGTCCTACCAGCACAGGACTCCTGTAACGAGGAACTGGATTTCTCGGCTCGGACGGCCTTCTCTGTGGCTGGAAAACCTGGGCTGGGTGGTGGCTGGGCAACAGCAGGACTAGTCGGCGCACTGTTGACCTTCACATTCGGGGTGAATGGAGGGAGCATGATTGACGACAGATCGTGGCTAGAAATGGCAGCAGACCGACGGTGTGCATGTCCTCTTCGGGGTTTCGCAGTCGGTTGTAGCAATGGTGAGGACATTCCGCCGTCAGACTTGGTTGGACTGCTGTTGAGGACAGTAATGGCTTCCCCGTCACGGATGCTGCCCCCAACGAATTCGCTCCCTCCTCTGCGGTGTCCAAGGCCGGCTGGTCGGGCGAGGCCCGACCGCGGCGAACTGGGGGCAGATGGCGATTGCGGCAGGTTCAAAAATACGCTGTCGGGACCCGGTGTCGGGGGCAGAGAGGCGCCTGGATTAAACGAGAACACCGGCAACGTGGGCGAGCTGGAACCAGTTTTGTCAACCTCAAAACTACCCCTTGATATTGATTCCTGTGGCTCTATTGCAGAGCGCGGCCGCCTGCCGGTTGCCCGTGACAAAGATGAAGGCGCTGAGGAAGATGTTGGCCTCGCAGGGAAAACGAAAGGCGGGTTCGGTGGAGGCGCGTTCGGTCGCGGAGACGCCCGCGGATTTGCAGGACGCAGATTGCTGTCATTCACGGCTGAAGAGCCTGAGAGCTCCGGTGACGCCCCATGATCGAGACAGTCCACGTAAGGCGTGTCCATCATGATGTCGGGTCCAATTGTAGCCGCCATCATTCCAAGCCGCTCTGCGGCACCAGAAGCGATTGGCAGCTCAAATCAATGCGAACGACATAGAGTCCTCGAACTAACGATCGCCTGGCGCCCAACATATACCAGTCTGCGATCGCGGTCGAGGTAACGACGTTGGTCTGGTCGTGGTTCGGCCAATAGAGGGGGGTAATTAAATGATTAACAAACAATTGCAGCCTGCGATCTGGGAGATGTCAGCGATAACCGAGAAAGCCGAAAACATTGGGCCAGGCCAAGGGAGAAGGATGTTGCACAAAATGCGACGCAAACAAGTACCAAGGCAGGAGGTCGCGAAGAAGAGCGCAAAAGCCAGAAACCCACCATTGATCGACAACTCGGACGGCTCCAACTGCTGGGAGACAGCAACAAAGAATTAGGCAACTGAGATGCTGTTTCCAACAAGATTCAAGTATCAAAGGAGTGGACGGCCAAGGCCAGCGCAAATCACGAAGACTTGCTGCTGGGATTGAGCCAAAGTTTGTCGGGAGGTCAACAGACCGACGTTGAAGTGGTGAGAGAATGCAGAAGGAGAATTCAGAAGGGGAGGATGGGTGAATGAGAAGAGGGCGGCCAAACCCACACATTACACAGAGAACTTGGGTGGGGGCTGACAGGAACCGCAATTTCAGACAGTGCCAAGAAGGATTGTTACGGTGCGAATTGCAGTGGAGTACAGTGTGGGCCAGGGAGGCGAGTGCTGACGGCGGCCGCAAGCTCCGAGATTTGTTCAAGAACTAGGCCGCCCCGGCCGCTAAACGATAAGGCCTTGGGCTACTAGTATTTGGTGATGGGGCACTTTTGGTCGAACTTGACTCTGCGACAGTTGTACAACTACCTACCTGAGTGTCGACCGCAAATTTCAAGCCGATTGTATTCGAAAACGGTGCCCTAAGTTTGTTCACTCCTCCTCACAGTCCATCGTTACCGGACGAGGTTTCGATGCTCCCCCACTCACCCCCTCCCCTTCCCAATTCCATCTTCCCCTGAGAGTGAAGTTAGCGAAAGGCGAATGTTACTATCGATGTTATCCAGTTCGCTACTCGCGTAAACGAACCCAGGATCGTCGCATTGCGGGGAAACGATTAAGATAGCGTCTGGAAGTTAACCTAGCGAATTCCCCGCTCTACCGGGCTGGTGTTCAGGGCAGGAGCATTTAAGTAATGAGGACAGAACTGCGGTCATCCGGGTGAATTTCAACTGAAGCCGCTTCGCAGGACAGCTAGCACTCAACTTCATGATCCTAGGCTTACCCAGCACCATGGACTTGCTTGTCCCAAGTTTGTGTGGAATACAGTAATGACCCTCTTTCTTCCGTTATCAAGCCAATTTCGTATTCTGACCATCGCGAGATGGAGGGCTACGTGATCGCCTGCGCCTCATCGTATGCCGCGTTAGGTACCCCGCTATTACCCAAACTGGCTAAGATTAGGCCAATGTTCCTGCGGCCCGCCCAACTGCGTCCAGGATTCCATTCACACGCTAGCTGAAAGCTGGTTCTTGAAAGCCTTGGCACAAACTGACCTGGGAAGTCACCAACTGCTTGTCGAGTCCTGTACACACTGTGTATTTTCCTACTTGAGTCTTGGTTATACCTTCCCTACGAAGCAATGTCCTGTGAGAGTTCAATTCGGTCAACAGTGAGCACAGTAAAGGGTTTGCAAAGTACATATATATTGTATAGACAACCTGGACTTGGTTATGACTGCGATGCAATCGCCTGTTGTACAATACCTGAAGTGTACTGTACAGTACCGCAAATGGTTTGTCTGAAACTTCCAGGTTTGTACTGTTCTTACAGAGTAACTTGTTCAGATGGAGTAAGGACCTGGAGTCGCCTCCCAAGGCCAAAGGGGCGGGGTCAAATATCGACGGGGAGCCCCTCTACACTAAGTTAACCATCACCTATCCCGGTATCCCCGGAGGTTGTGTTGACGGATCAAGCGCAAAGTCACTCACAAGAATGCGAAACCTAAGGAAAGCTTCCCTAACCCTTTGCCAGAGACTACCTCGACTACCTAACACTCCGTATAGACACACTTCAGACCGAGGGGGATGTGCTTTTGACGAACGCAGCATCCCCTTGGGACTGCAGATAGCCCCTGCCATTAGATCGATCTCGGTCGTCCAACTAGAGGCTTGAAACGCCGTCCAACAGGGTGCGCACGGGCAAACTTGCATAACAGTCTAACGAACATTCAGCCAAACTAACGCAGGTGCTCTGTTTCGACTCCTTCGAGGTTCACACACCTCGAACTGCAAGGCTGCTGACCGATTACCTGGGCAACATCCATAACTGTCCGCTCACCATCGGACATGGAGTCTTGAAGCCTACATCAGCCTCGGAGGAGTCGCAATGTTCGCTGTAGGCGGGAAATCTTTGACTTGACACGACACATCTCAGCCCAAGTGACTCTGGGCTCCTATAACGTACCATTCTCAAGTAGGGTTCTTGAACGCCGTCAGATTCGAACACGACGAATGAGAAGCCGCAGATAAGCCGCACCGCCCTAGTTATAGAAACCTTATCGCTGCTCTTCAGTTTGATTCTTGGCCGTGTTCACAGTCTGACGGTTTTCAAGAACGGTACAGCCAGGCATTTACGATTTCCAAGTCGATTGCATGGAAGCTTTTCGTATTCTGCCATGGTCTAATCCGCCGGTGAAGCAGTTGCAATTGTAGGTACTTGTATTCTACGAATACCAGCATCATTGGCAATCACCTCCGCATGCCGAAGTTTCCTAGTGTACAATACGAAGTAAACGTCCACATGCAGCACTGGGTACCTGGTAATTTCCGAAAATGAGATGGAAGCTCGTTCGACCGTTTACACGAATCCTTCAGCCTGCGGTCCCTAGTCACTATCAGAATCATACTAAGACAGCTGTTACGAAGTACACGTAAATAAAGATTGAATTGATGGTTCCTGGCAGGGCTGGATGTGTTGGCTCGGTTGCTTTACTCTACACAGTATCCATACCTTCGTAGTGTAAGCCAAAACTCCAGATGTGTCCTTTCGGCTGTGAAATTGGCCAATTCTCGATGAAATGCGAAACCGGCCAATGGGGTCGGTTGGCAAGCGCCAAGATTCAATTTGTTACGCGATAATACACGTGTACAGTAACTACACTCCTTGGCTGGATTACTGTACAGATACAACCAGTATCAACAAAAGTAGGTACCCGTGATATCGCCAAGAAATAGGTTAATTTGACAGCTGACGTTGGAAAGATGATCTCAAACAGATTCGAGAAACATAATGACACTGTAGTAGTAATCAATTATCCGGACCTCAACTTCTATATGATTAATGTAGGGTATTGTAAAGAAAATGTCACATATGGATGATCATGCAAATACTAATGCTTCGTAACGGACAGGTACTTTACCTTGCCTTGTAATGTATCTGTATTTTCCGCCTCATTACGGCTACTCCGTGGTCATTAAAGTCCAGCCGCAGCTGAGCCCTGATCGATAAGATTGGCTGGCGGGCCTCCACTAGGAACCAGAAATTCTGCCGACCCAAACTTTTCAACTTCGGCAGTGTAAGCCTGACCGCCCTAACAATACAAGCACCTACCGCCTATTGCCCCAGCTGGGTCTTGCTCTACATCTGACGTCGAACGCACTCCCCAACAAACATACCATGTCTGCCGCAGAAGTCGAAAATGCGTCTACGCCAGCGGCGTCGTCGTCAAAGCCGTTGGGGATGAGAAAGAACGGTACCATACGCCCATGCTCCGAGACTGCTCATGTCCATGTGATGCTTACTAGGTTTCAGGCAAGCAATGGCACGCACCAAAGAAAGCCTTCCGCCCGGGGTCTGGCTTGACACCATACGAACAGCGGGCAAAACAGAGAGTAGCACAACAGGCATTGAAGACGAAGGAGAGGGAGATGAAGGAAGAAAAGGAAGCAGAGCGACAGGTGGGCCTCGCGAGATTGGCTACTAGCGATGAAGAGCCCGGCTAACTCTTGAGCTATAGAGACGGATACAGGCTCTCAAGGAGAAGAGAGAGGCCAAGGCGGAGAAAGAACGATACGAACAGTTGGCCTTAAAGATGCATAAGAAGAGGGTGGAAAGGTTGAAGCGCAAGGAGAAGCGCAACAAACTGCTCAATTCCTGATCGAACCGCGCTGGGTTGTGCTGGATACGGCTGGTTTACCCCGTGGCATACGGAGAAGCACTATGCGAAGATTGGGGACACCAAGGACAGCTCCTGCAAGAATTCAGGGCGGCTAGTCGCAGCCCCTGGATCGGCTCGGTAACAACCTGGAAGGTCGAGCTTTCTTCGCGGGGATACGTGGCAACTGACTTCCCGAGACGAAAACAGCGACGCCTGGGCACAGTTATAGGCATTCACCGCGAGGCATCGCCAGAATCCGCAGCTTCTGGCGTGATGATGCCCTGGAGTCCATCCAGAGCAGGGATTCTGGGCCTTTATCTTCCAGGACGACAGGGGTCAATTTCAAGTCCAGAACCTGCTTGGTCATGGCCGGGCAGCGACGAAATGGTACCAGATTTTAGAAAATGTTGTATCAAATTCGCAGGCGCGATTGACGCACATCACAGGTTTCCCTGTTGAGCCTGAGTTCAGGTTGTGACCATACACTGTAGTGTGCATAACTGCATAGGTATCACATGTCGTTCGCCATTCGGCCCCACCTTCCTTGGCGCTTTGCTTTGGCAGTTTGGCTCTCACCCGCCCACTGTTCAGCCTTCGGTGTCATTGTGCAACTCGTGACCCAATGACCCAAGTCCAGGAAAGCCAACAGGAAACCGGTTGACATAGGTACCTAGAGTATTTGTACGATGTCCCAAAATGGCAGCGATGTATATAAAGCATCATTGCCCGGTCGGCCGCGGCATCAGATAACTCGCTCCATATCTGAGATCTCTTCGCCGATCCATCTCCATCGCCGCCATTCGCAGCTCGCAACTAAGGAAAAGAATCGGGACACGCACAGCTCAGCTTCGCGATCTGCTATACCGATCGTCCAAGACAGGCGGTCATTTGAGGTGTTACGGTCCGAAGGGGTGACGCCAAAGCCCAGTCCGAACGCCAGCAGACGGACAAGCATTCTCCATGTCTCAACAGATGAACTGATGCCCACAAGCGCTGCTGTATCCTCGCCTGCGCCTGCGCTAGCCATCAAGGATTCGAAGGACGATGGGTTGGTTAGGCAGCAGCAGAAGGCTGCGGCCCAAGAGAGGTCAGTCGGCCACCAGGAGATCCCGCGCTCTAGAGCAATTGTGGATTGACACCCTGCTCCAGTGGTCTTCAACGCTCGCTCGCTGGCCTGGAGAATTTCGCCAATGTAACGACTAAACGTCTTGACGATACATACTACTCACTCGGGGAAAAGTTAAACGCACTTCAAGGCACAATTACGGCGCTGAAAGAGCTTGCTGAATCTTCGCAGAAGCTGAATGAGACCTTCAGCGCAGAGACAGAAGCACTGGTCGCAGACATCAACTCGCAGCTCGATGCATTCGGCCAGTTTGAGGACCAGCAGAGGCGGATCCAGTCACTTCAAAACCGCATAACTCTGGGACGAGAAAGTATTGCGCTGCTGAGCAAGCGGGTAGATGGCGTGCGCGAACGCATCGAGAGTTGGGAGCGCGCAGACAAGGAGTGGCAGGAGAGGACGAGGAAGCGGCTCAAGGTCGTCTGGATCGTCACATCTGTCGTCATCTTTGTCGTGGTCCTGCTGTATGTAGGCGCCCAGTATACGCCCGACAGCTTGGAAGCAACATCACAGATCGCCAGCGACGGGTCTAATACCCTGAGAGGCGTGGCCGAAGTGCAGGCAGATATGCTCTGGACCTCAAAGGAGGCGCCGACACAATGGCTCAGCATGGCGCTGAATGGAACGGGGAAGGGGATGGTGAAGGCTCCGTCTCCTGAACCAGAAGCGCTCCTTGCACTTGATGAGCTGTGAGTTGTTTCTGTGGAGTATGGGAACCTTCATATTGCGCGATACATTTTGAAGTCTGGCTTGGTTTCACTTACTGTAACGACTTGATACCCAGGCACAGGGACGGCGTAATACTTATGGTTGGAATCTCTTTTAATATAAGATATTTGAAACTAACACTATCTAGCGACAATATCAGAGCTCGGCAGCCGGGTTGGAGCTTAGAAGTGTTGTAGAGCTTCCATACTACATCTATTAGAGGGCTGTCATTCTCATCAGTTCCCTAGCTGAACCGACACGGATAGAGAATTCAAAATCCAACAAGATGACAACAGGATGGCTTCTCCGCCCAACTGCCTCGCAATTTGTGAAAGGCCATACTAACCTCAGAGACAAAATTTCCGGGTTTGGGTTTGACGGCCCAAGGATGCCGGCCACGGCGGGCGGTTGTAAGGTAGTGGCGGCCTCACCATGAAAGAGCAGGGATGTTGTGGAGACAGGGCCTTGCCAAGAATACATTCAGTGGGGAACGCAAGCTTTGGGCTGCTCTGCGCCACCAACCAGACGCTGGAATGCGTCATCGGGCAGCCAACAGGGCGAAGCGCCAAGCTACCTACTCTGGCCGACATCTCAAGGTACTGGTAGTTTACTGTACGTTACGCCAACGCTGGGACAGCCAGAGTAATAAGCCCAGGATAGTGGAATCGGAAAGAGCATTGTTTTGTGGCAGGACTCACGGGCACCGATAAATAGCCACTCCTGCTGATCCATTAACTTGTCTTGTAATCAGGCCGTTGCCTCTTTTGAGCTGTTCGTTGATCTGTATCTCCGCCTGCGGGCCCCCATCATATGCGGACTTGTAGCGTGGAATGAGCTTACCCCCTCGTCATCTTCCAAAATCTCTCTCCTATTTTGCATAACGTGAACGTCAGGATATTCTTATCCTCCCTGGCCGACCCGGTGTGTTGGTTTCGCTTCTTCCTTCCTCCTTCCTCCTTCAAGCGCCGAAACGGTATATACGCGCCCGCGCCATCGCACAGATCCCAGTACCTTAGCAGGAGCCACGATTCGACCGCCACGGTACCGGGGTGCAATTCCTTTCCCGGCAATAAGGCGCCCAGAAAGTTGCTGCGGTCAAGATTTCTTCTGAGCGAAAGGGAAGCAAAAGATCTCGTTTATATCAAGTCAGCTGCAGCCGAAAGAGCAGAGGCACGCTCCTGGATCCTCTGCTGGAATTGAAAAACTCTGCCCGCCTCGAGCTCCGTGAGGACAATGGCTTTCGAAGCCACCCTGGACGAAACAGGCAATGCCCCGGACGGCGAGCTTGCCAAGCCGCGGCCCGGTGAATCCCACGAGTTGCCTTTCCGAACGACATCCGGTCCACCTCGTAGCCAGGCTTTGACGGGAAAGCAAGAGCATTGTTAGTCGATCCGCACCGTCGCCCCTTTTGTTCATCCCTTACTTGTCAGGAGGCATAACACTGACCACCTGCTTTCCACCTCCTCGGCCAGACCTCAAGCGTGAACTCATATCGGAGCAGGTCAAATGGGAAGTCTCGGAGCTTAGCTCGCCGACAGCACTACGGCGGTTCGGCGCCCCGTTCAAGTCTGAGTTTGGGGAGGTGTCACCGTTGGATTCTGAGTTACCTATTCTGCGATACATCTTTGTCCACCATGTCCGCGAATTCCCATTTCTCGACAAGGCCAAGGAGAAAGAGTTTTGGCAGGACAAGTTGCAAGTGGTAGGTCCGGTCCTTGCGGAGTATTGGAGCGCAGTTTTGACTGAGGCTAATTCTTGGGGATTTAGTTCCTTGAGTCGTTTGCTAGCAAACACATCTCATCTTCCGAAGACCGCTTGGAGGAGACCAAGAGGAGGAAGCTTGCTACAAAGGCCAAGAAGCTGGTTGAGCTGATGATGGTGTCAGGAATCCCAACTTCCTCGGGCTTTGAGGAACGAATTAGGTTTTCGGAACTCGAAATAGTCGATGCCAGTGCGATCGACAGCGGGATCATCTCATCGATGCCCGAGGGGAACTACTTGAACGGATGGGATGTCAATGTAGCCGGTGTCCGGATGATCTCAGTCAAAAGGAGGATTCGGCATCACCAGCATGCCGTAAGTATTTCCACTGCGGGGGCGCCATGACTGCTGCTAACTTTTAGGGTACAGGAATTTCTACTTCGAGTGAAGAGGAAAGCCGGTTCAAGCTATTATGTCGGTCGACGATACGGCGACTTTGTACGGCTGTACAAGAGGTTAAGGACCGAGCTCCCGGGCAAGGTTCTTCCTCCGCCTCCTAAGAAGAACAGATCGGACACGACGGCATCCGGCGTCGTTGGCAGCCATAGTGAGAACAACTCTGAGACATCGTCCATCTCATCGGCCTCAACACAGAATCCCAACAGCCCCGCCCAGAGTAATTTTGAACAGAACAGCGATTTCAACCAAAAGTTCTTATCGGTGAAAGGTTCGTCCTTGCTGATACTTTTGGGGAGGTTAGCCGACTAATCACGTATCCTGTATAGACCATCGGCTCAGTGGTAGAAAGTCCCCGCGGTCCTCAGTCGACGGTAGGCCGTCTAGCCCATCGTTGTTCGGTCTGCGAACCGAAGAGGTATGCTTCTAATCGAGACTCGGGACATGCGGCCTGGACTGCGGTTAACCCTCTTAGAACGTCGTGCTACACCGCGAGAGCCAGAGAATCTCGCTACGCGCCTTTCTACGCTCCTTGTTGCAGAACCCTCAAATCGCCGGTACCAAGGCAATGGAGGACTTTTTGACCGCAAACCCAATAACGCCAACAGACGGGGATCATGAAGACATCCTCCGACGAAAAAACCTAGACAAGAAGCGAGTAGAGGAGCAGAAGCGGTTCTACGAAGTTGCAAGACAACGTGCGGCTGAGCTGGACGTTTACATGGAACAGTAGGTCCAGAAGGATGTCCTGCCCACCTGTTTCTGACTCTGTTTAGGTTCCGACAGGACATTGTGGAACGCAATGGCTTGACCATGCTCTTCAAGGAAATCAGAGAGAAGGAGACGATTCAGGACCTGAGCTTGCAATATCAGAAATTCGCCGAATGGTTGCGAATCGAGGTAGCGGCCACCATCTACCATCTCTTCCTTGCTGAAGACAATTCCCCAGAATTGTTTGCGCAAGCGAAGCGGATACACTCGTTGATCCCTTACACTCTTATGAAGAACGTCATTCGCGTCGCCAATCCAGCGGCCGTCATGTCAAGCGTCCTGGACATCTTTCTGGCCCAGCCTTTTGGCACGAGGTCTCTGATGCAGCGCATCTTTTCACTGACTCTAAATGATGGCATCAGAAACTTCCAACGGTCGATAGACGACTTGGCCGACAAGATCGGGGACTCGGTCTTTGTCGAAAAACTGAAGAGGTACACGGATGCCGAGGAGTCAATCAAAGCCGTGATTAGGGAGGAAGCCGAGAACGAAGGCACCGACATCATCGTTGTGATCCTGCGGTCGGACCTCATCAGCCCGGCGCTTAACTCGCAGCAGATTGAGCGGCTGTTTAACGCATACGTAGCTTTCAACAGTGCGGTCGAGAACGTTGACGAGGAACTTCGCCAAGGCGCGCAGCTGTTCTCTTATCTCAAGCAGCTATTGAAGCTGTACATACGGCAAAGGGACAAGGCTATGATGCTGAGTCTCATTGAGGAGCCCGTCACTCTCCAGTTGTTCCGGGATTTGTTTACCATCTTCTACGAGCCGCTCGTCAGGGTTTACAAGTCGGCAAATGTGTACAACAGCGTGACGGACTTTGCCCACTTCATCGATGACCTAATTCAGGTGCGTAGCCAACTGTCATGATCTGCTTGCCAGGCAGCTAACAAGGGATGTCCAGGTTGTCGAGAGGTGCCGGGACCAGGATGCTTCAGCGGATCCTAACCAGACTGTGCAAGCCTTCATTGACCTCTGCCAGCGGCACGAGCATAACTTTTACAAGTTCGTCCACGAGGTGCACACACATGACAACGGCCTTTTTGCGCAGTTGATGGGATGGATTGAGGGGATTCTGGAGTTCCTTCGGCGTGGCCCCCGCAACGGCAGCCTGGACGTCAACGCCCTGTTCGAAGGCGCTACGAGCAGTGGCCTCATTGACAGGGAGAAGGCAATTGAAGAAATAGACAAGCTCATTGCATGGCAGGAGGCGCGGAAGAAATGGCACGCAGACAAGACTAGACAGAAGATGGCAGCCGAAGGGGTTCCCGGAGCCGCGGAGGTGGCACCCGGCACAATGGCTTTCAAGTCCAGCGACTTTGGGCTCGATGAAGACGACCTGGAGTTTATGGCAATGGACGAGGACTCGGAGAGCGAAGCCGAGGCCGAGGCCGACGATGAGCTGGACCCTATCGAGGCTGAGAGGAGGCGGAGGGCTCGGAAGCAGGACCGGCTGCGGCGCAATGCCGGCGAGCCCCCGAAGCCAGAGGTGTCTGAGGTGCACAAGCTGAAAGAAAATTTCTTGGTCATGCTGCGGATGGTGCTCGCGGAGTAAGAGACGGCTGGCATACACAGCAAGCGGTATATATGCACGGTTGGAGTCCTACGGATTGTCGCTCAAGGGATGATGACGATAGACTGGACGTTTGGAGCCATGGACATGGGCCCTGTTTCTCCCTTTCTCGAGGTATACTTTACAGGAATCATTATTGAGACAGGGCTACCAGTGTTGTTCGGACACAACCTAGGCAATGAAACGAGGAGTTGGAAACGTGGTTGAAAAGGACGCAATGCCAGGCTGGTGGTGACAGGTGTGGTACGACACTCCGGCGAAGAGCTCACACAGAGAGTACTACAGCAGGTCATACATACCCGGAATAGGGTAGCTGTTACCCTCACCTCTAGGAGTATATGAGTGAGTGACACATGCTTCTGTTCCGCTCACACACCTCGTGAGGTATTTGTACATGTATGTACATACAAGTACCGGTACTGTATTTGATGAGCCCGGATGCAGTCGCATACGTAGTGCGACCACGGTCTTTGATTCTTGGCCGCAATTTGAGGCAGGCTCTGAATAGCAGAACGTTGCATTTCATATGAGTGGCTGATATCGTCATACAACATATTACGACGGAAGACAGGCTCATGGTGTAACAATACGATCCAACCTGCCAGTCTCACCAGTGACAAGTCAGCCGTACGTTGATTGCCCTACCACTAGAGATCCAGTTACGTATTCGTAAAATACGGCATGTGGGTTAAGCAGCCCGTGGCAAGCAGCTCCTAGGTGGATTTCTGGATTTTACAGTGGGTTTAACGCGGGCCTCGCCGGCAACTCGGGTAATCAGCCTTCTCTGATTGGTTCAGCTTGCCAACGGCTCTGGAGTGCCGATGCGTGGAATCGACGGGCAGTTGCATGACATTGAAGAAACGCTCAAATATTTCCAATGCTCACTTCTTCGCCTTCAGATCCCGTCAGTTCACAATGGCTTCTTTAATGGCTTGGAGACGACTAGCCGCGGCGCCGGCGGTGAGTTATCTTGTTGCTCTCGGTTCTCATGTCACCGAATTGCTTTCCATTGCTTTCCGCGCTCAGAAAATGCTAACCCGAGGTTCGCCAGTTCTCGCGTGCCTCCAGAGCGCCGACCCGGGCATTTTCCACAACACGACCGGCCGGTAGGTTGACTTTGGAGATTCCGACTTTGCAGTCATATATATATGGCCTTGCGACTGACTGGAATTTACCTTTTGCAGCCCGCGTCATTGCGAACGGGCCGCTCCGCGCAAAGGAGGCGTCGCCCTACGTCAGTAGCAAGTACCCGGTCATCGTACGTATCATCGAATGGGAATACGCACCGCTTTAGCTGAGCAATCGCCGGTTTAACACTGATTGGATCAGGACCATGAGTATGATGCGATAGTCGTCGGTGCCGGCGGTGCCGGTTTGCGTGCCGCTTTCGGTCTGGCCGAGGCCGGCTTCAACACAGCTTGCATTTCCAAGCTGTTTCCCACGAGGAGTCATACAGTTGCCGCTCAGGGTGGTATCAACGCCGCGCTAGGGAACATGCACGAGGATGATTGGAGATGGCATATGTACGATACGGTCAAGGGCTCCGACTGGCTGGGTGATCAGGATGCCATTCACTATATGACCCGCGAAGCCCCTGCCTCCATTATCGAGCTCGAAAACTACGGCTGCCCCTTCTCAAGAACCGAAGATGGCAAAATGTAAGCAACCCTGTCCCCGTTTCCTCCCCCAAATACCTGGAATTCTAAGCTCACAAGTCCCGCAGCTACCAACGTGCCTTCGGTGGCCAGTCCCAGAAGTACGGCAAGGGCGGCCAGGCGTACCGTTGCTGTGCCGCCGCCGATCGTACCGGCCACGCTCTCCTCCACACTCTCTACGGCCAATCTCTCAGGCACAAGACCAACTACTTCATCGAGTACTTTGCCATCGACCTAATCATGCAGGATGGTGAATGCCGTGGTGTTCTGGCCTACAACCAGGAGGACGGCACTCTCCACCGTTTCCTAGCCAACAACACCGTTCTGGCCACCGGCGGCTACGGCCGCGCCTACTTCAGCTGCACGTCGGCCCACACGTGCACGGGTGATGGTATGGCCATGGTTGCACGCGCCGGCTTGCCGAACCAGGATCTCGAATTCGTGCAGTTCCATCCCACTGGGATCTACGGAGCGGGCTGCCTAATTACCGAGGGAGCTCGTGGCGAGGGTGGCTACCTCCTCAACTCCGAGGGTGAGCGCTTCATGGAGAGATATGCCCCGACCGCAAAGGATCTTGCCAGTCGCGATGTCGTCTCGCGTTCCATGACCATGGAAATTCGGGATGGCCGCGGCGTCGGCCCTGAGAAGGACCACATCTACCTCCAACTCAGCCATCTTCCCGCCGAGATTCTCGCCGAACGTCTGCCCGGTATTTCTGAGACAGCGGGTATCTTTGCCGGCGTCGATGTTCGAAAGCAGCCCATTCCCGTCCTCCCGACGGTCCACTACAACATGGGTGGCATTCCTACCCGGTACACGGGTGAAGTCCTTACAGTCGATGAACAGGGCAATGACAAGGTTGTCCCCGGCCTCTTTGCTTGCGGTGAGGCTGCTTGCGTCTCCGTCCACGGCGCCAACCGGCTCGGGGCCAACTCCCTGCTAGATCTAGTCGTTTTCGGCCGTGCCGTCTCGCACACTATCCGCGACAACTTCACCCCCGGAGCGCCCCTCAAGCCAATCGAGGCCGATGCCGGTGCCGAATCGATCGAGGTTCTTGACAAGATCCGCAACTCGGACGGCCCTAAGAGCACGGCCGAAATCCGGCTCGCCATGCAGAAGACCATGCAAAGAGATGTCAGCGTCTTCCGCACTCAGGAAAGCTTGGACGAGGGTGTCAAGAAGATCACCGAGGTCGACCAGATGTTCTCTCAGGTCGGCATCAAGGATCGTAGCATGATCTGGAACTCGGACCTGGTAGAAACGCTCGAGCTTCGCAACCTGCTCACCTGCGCGTAAGTAGACGGCTTTTCTGAGATCTAAGAAGTCGTTAGAAGCTGACATTGGGGATATAGAACCCAGACGGCCGTCTCGGCTGCCGCCCGAAAAGAGTCCAGGGGCGCCCACGCCCGTGAGGACTACCCGGAGCGTGACGACGAGAACTGGATGAAGCACACGCTCAGTTGGCAAAAGCAGCCCCACGGCAAGGTCGACCTCGGGTACCGCCGTGTCATTGCCACGACCCTGGATGAAAAGGAGTGCCCCCCTGTACCGCCGTTCAAGCGTGTCTACTAAAACGAAGGCCGTTTGGCGATGATAGATTTCTGTGTGGGTAACTAACGAGCGGTGAGGCTGCGCGTGGGGATGCTGCAGGCGCTTTTTTGTCGTGTCGAAAGGGTGTGCTCGCTGGGGATGAAGATCGAGATGGGGATGAGTGGACGGTTGCATCTGCATATAGGGTCCACGATGGGAGCGAGGGGCGAAAACGATTCGAAGGAAACCGGGCGGTCCGAGTCGGGATGAGTTGAGGTAGTCGCCTCCTGTGATCCGTCCATCTGTCAATCGGTTCGACGGTCGGTTCAATGGTCAGGAACGGGGGAGTGAGGGCTCTCTGAGGATCACTCGCCGCCAAGCATAGCGTTCTTTCTTTCCCCCCTTCCTTTGCCTTGTATCCTATTTGTTCGGCTTTGCCTCGCGAGGCTTGTTTTAAGCATGGTAGAACATATCCAAGAGTGGGGGATGGGACGGATACTTATCTGTATAAAACTGGTTCTAGCTTGTCTCTCTGACGACCTCTTCTTTGGTATGTGTTTGTGTATACAAGCAGGCATGGCAAATCGACAAGACAGCAAGGCGAGGTGTGGAACATGTAAAGGTGGAAAGGGAAAGGGAAGAGGGCAATACGCATTCCATGTTGCAAATACCATTGCGGTGCGGAGTATAACGTAGTGAGTGTCGAGCTGCCGGCCTCCTTGAGATTTGTGTGATATGTGATGGTTATCTTGAGGAAGAACTGATCAGATCACATGTAGAGGCTAGCACCCTAGGTTCGTGAGGCGCATTCACCATCTCCTTTTTATTCGGTGGTGGAACTCATGTACCGCGGTTAGTTTACTCGCCGGTCATTTCTTTTCATTTCATGATTCAAAGATGAGGTAGGAAAGAGTGATATTCTGTGAGGATATGTTGCCGAGGCCCGTGCTAACCAAAGGGGTGTCCCAACGAGGAACGCGGAGGGAAGTAGCCCGCTTGTATCCATACATTGATGCCTGTATTTTGAGGTATAGGTGACTCAGATACCTCTCAATTTCTGTGACAAGCGTTTGGTAGACATGTTGGTTTATGGGGCCTGCCCAAACACCATACCACTTCGAGACGGATGTGCCCATTTATGAATGACCAGTTCGCGAGCATGAATTCGTCGGGTGGTAACCGTCATCTGAGTTTACATTGCCAATGTCTAAGTCAGCAGAGAGCTATATATAGCCTCAGTTTACACCCGGAATCAGTGGTATGATTCTTTTCTTGAGTCATACCAGGTAAGGTAACTACAGCGCGTAACCCCTTTTCCCTTTGCGCCCAGCTTTCCCCCAGAAAATGGGTTCAGAGCTCACTCGGACAATAACCTCCTTGCGTCGTCTGATTACTCCGGGCCAGCTGGATCTCTGCGCGTTCCGCGAGAGTGTACCAGATCGCAGCCTCGATGATCCGGCAAACAATTCGCAAATCGCCCTCATCTAGATGAAAAATAAAGATCCATCTCAGCAACTCATGATACATGCTCCAGAATCAGGGTGAGGAAGCCTTACCTCTCGGGGCGTAAATCATGGTAAACGTTACCGGGACTGGACTTGGTACCCTACCCTTCCTACACACGAACACAACATCAGTATGCCAATCTCCGTCTCCCAAGGCAATGAATTGCAACCGACGTACCAAGCCATTGGGTGCCTCTGCCCCCATCCCTTTTCCAGCACCTCCTTGATGTCGTCCGGGTGCAGGTTCATGTGCATTGAGCGGTCCGACGTGTGGATATGGGCGACCTCGCCATTACCGCACACGTTGAGCGGGTGCCGCGCGAAGAGGGCGAAGCCGTGCTTCTCGAGGCAGGACGTGGCCGTGACGAACTTTTGCGGGAGCCGCGCGCAGAGCGCCTCGAGCGCCCCGCGCAGCCGCCCATAGGCCAGGGGTGACCCGTGCTGGTTCAGCTGCCGCTGCGGCGCCAGCCCGGCCACCACCGGCCGCGGCCCCGGCCGGTAGGGTAGCCCCTTGAGGATCCCGGTCGCCGGTTTCACCGCGGGATCCCGCGGAGGCGGGCTGAATGGGTCCCGTAGAGTGAACAGCCGGTACCACGTCAGCCGGGCGTAGCCCGCGGGGGTTGGAGGCGTCCCGCCGGGTCCGAGTTTCAAGAAGTTGAGGTAGTCGTTGCGGACGAGCAGGGCTAGTGGGACCAAGAGAATGAGGCATTCGAGAAAAAGCCGGTCTACGAAGTGCATCCCGAGGACGAGCAGAACAGAGCCCGCCAGGAGAGCCGCGGCATCGAGCGTGATGTAAAAGGGGTCCTGGCGGATGACCATGTTCACGGCAACCTGGCTAGCTTCGTCCGCCGTGCATGCCGCCGGCTTCTCAGGCTCCGTGCTCACCGTGAGAGACATCGTTCAAGCAAATGCTGAATTGTAGGTGGGTCAATTTCCTATATTGCGTTCAAGTCGGTCGAAGCGCGGCGGGCAATGGTGTTCCCCCTTGGCCAGTTGTTAGACGGTGGATGGGGAAAGTTGAAATAGAAGTAAGAGAGGAACGGGTAATACATTCATTAACCCCTTTCTTTTTCAGAGGGAAAATCGGTGTCCGTTACCTGTTGCACTTGCACGCTGGAGGAGGACATGAGGACAGAGAAGCCACAACCGAGACCGGGAATGCGAAGAAGAGAAGCCAAGGTGGAGGAGTCGAAAAAGGAGCGCCATAATGTTATCCGCTGCATCATTTGTTTGGCTTGATCTTCCAGCTCACCACATGAGCGTCGCCACGCACTGCTGCATACCGACCTTGTCGACCTCTGCGTTGATCCTTGGGCCATCAGGGCTAACAGAGCGTCTGAATGGGACATGCACAATGCGGTCACGATGCGTCAAGCAGCTCCACAAACGCCCTGTGGAGTGCTGTACACCAGATATGCACTCCTTGAACGAAGACAGTTAGAGCGCAGGGTGATCATCCGCCAGACATACGGGGAAGTCTGCGAGGGTCGAAACTTGGAGTTTCTCGGTAGCGTAAGGTTAAGTAAAGGTAGCCACAGGCCAACACATGGGGTAACTGCTGCACTGCACAACTGCATCGCAGCCATCAAACGAGCCCTATGGGGAGAGCCAGGTCATCTGACCCCAAAGCCTCAGCGAAATCGCCCGATTCGTCGGTAACTTGGGGATTTCGAAATCGAGTGCACATTACACTTGCACTAGGCTCAGTGTTGGCTGAGCTGAGCTGGCGCCTGCATCTGCCGTCTACCGGTAGGTTTGGCAGACGAGAGCGGCGGGGGAGCGGGGGATGTAGCTTTGAAGTCTCTTGAAGAAGGTAGGCACGGTCCAGGATGAGCGGCCGGGAGCTGAGTAAGGCACTCGGGCTGGAAGCCTTCCCGCGACTCCTGGTTTTAGTCGAGGTCGTACCTACCTTAGGTATAACCTGCGCGGCAGCCGTGAAAGCGGCGAATTGGGTCAGGTGCAAGATGCAAGACGCAAGTGACCCGAGACCATTGGACCGGTGGAGCGAACTGGAGCGAACCACCCAGCTTCCTGTGTTTGAGAGAGGAGCAAGATGCACTTTCCATAGCAAGCATGAAAGTTGCGCAACTTGACGAAGGTACCTCTGTATGTACTTCCCCACTCGCTAGTCCCACAGTGGCACAGTCTCGCGCGACTCTCGCTCAGTGCTGGTTGCTCGGCAACGCGCCAACATGGATGTCCACATCCTTCGAAACGGCCAATCAACACCGACGTTGTTAACGACGAAGAGAGGGTTTCCTGCGAAAACCAGGCTAACTTATGAGATCTGGTCACTAGTTACTCCGTAAGGTAAATGCGCCTTGTCCATACTTCTCCCTTTCGAGTCGAAGACGGACAGTAACCCAAACTACTCTAACCACCATCAACGCTCTGGAAGCATAATTCGAGACACTCATTACACATTGCTCTCCAACTGTACGGATAACTCTGTGCGGCGGGGCACTGCGCCTGTGCGGTCAGCCAGGTCTCACTCCGTGTCTTGGTAAGGAAGCAGCATGCAGAAACCTGCTATGGCGCTCAACTGACACTCCTTGATTACCACCCAGCAAAGAACGGTCTCGCCAATACAAGGAATTATGGGGTTCCTGTCTCTGGGCTTCCTGCGCTCGCGGGAAGCCAATCGGCCAAAGCTGCCTCTGTACAAGGAGTTGCCCTCTTCCAAAACACGCCCACCTCGCACGCCGCGCTCCTCCACGCCGTATTCTCCGACGAAGGAACGGATCTCGGACGTAGATGATTCATCAGACGACGGCTCGGATAATGGCGACGAGAGCGACTGGTCAACCTCATCGTCCCTCACTTCGGGAAGCTCAAAACGAACATCATCCTCAGCCTCGTCCGCCGCTGCGCTCATGGCCCCAAAGAGCTCTGTGGCTGCCGTGCGACGACCGAGGCGGAGATATCTTTACCGTCTACCGAACCGGGTCGTACGGTACCTGTGCATTGGCATGATCTCAACCATCATCATATTCATATTCCTTCTGGTGCGGGCCAGCCAGGTCGAGAACAAGAGGATAGCAGAGGGAAAGGTGGAAAAGAAGCCAGCAGACCCTCCCCCGTGGGAGCAGTTTGAGTTCCTCACCAGGTACTACGGTGGCGTCAGAACCTTGACCCCCTTGGCCAACAACGTGCCGCAGTATCCGCGCCTTGGCGGGGAAAGGCCATACAACGCCACTCAATCGCAACAACAAGAGTCAGACAGCGGAGAGACTCCTTATCCGCCAGTTGAGGCAAAAGCTGTGCCTTCAGGCAAAGCGTTTACCGGCTATCCGAGAGCCAGTCTACCAAAGACTGAAGATGGGGTTCACGAGTGCTTTTTGGACGACCAGGGAACGGTCAAGATACCGCCGCTGCGATACCTGGAGGGGCGTCCAAACGGCTTTCCGGACAACATTCTTGGGTCTTACGAGCTTTTCTCGCTTCCCGAAGATATTTGCTTCGACCGCTTTGGTAGATACGGGCCCTACGGCTACGGTTATTCCATCAGAGCCGGAGGCCTTGGAGTTGGTGAGCACGGCGAGCGCGAGGGTGCCGAGGCGGTGTGGGAAACGGCCAGGGAGATTGACTGGCGAACACTCGACTGGGCTGATGCCCAGCGACGCTGCTACAAGGCCAATGCCAAAAGATACAAACCCCTGGCCACACGCGACCCTCCCCCTCATGGCTTCTATATTGGCGAGGGCTTACAGATGTCTAGGCGGAGTACGCAGGACTCGGAAGAAAACGGCTCTCATGTGATCAACTCCGCTGAGAAGCTCAATGGTGAACTGGCAAGAACCGCGATTGTCCTGAGGTGCTGGGACGAATTTGCTTGGAGGGAAGAGGACATCTTGAACCTGAGGGCGCTCATCGCGGAACTTTCACTCGCTTCGGGCGGTCGCTACGACGTCCACCTATTGGTCCAGGTGCGGAATGATGCCAGGAACCCAATCTGGGCGGATGATGAAGCCTACCGTAACCGCGTCAACGAGACCGTTCCGGAAGAGTTTCGCGGAATTGCCACTCTGTGGTCGGAAACACAGATGCTTGCCGTCTACCAAGGCATCGTCGACCTTTGGACCAGGGGTCCTGATCTTCCCGTTCACGGCTCGTATCGTGGTCTCCAGATGGCGATGCAGCATTTCGCATACAACCACCCCGAGTACGAGCACTTCTGGCAGTGGGAGATGGATATCCGCTACACTGGCCACTATCATGATCTGCTCTCCAAACTTGAGCTCTGGGCCAAGGAACAGCCCCGGAAGGGGCTCTGGGAGCGCAACGCTCGCTACTACATGCCCTATGTTCACGGTCCATGGGAAGATTTCAAGCAGATGGCCCGCGTGCAGACCGAGCACGGCACCGTCGGACCCGACAACCTCTGGGACAAGGCGGTCCCCGGCGCCAAGGCGGGAGACAACAAGCCCTCACCGCAGCACGTCTCTCCCGGCGAGCAGAGCGTGTGGGGTCCTCTGCGCCCTTTCGACCAAGGCGACTGGTTCGAACACGAGAACGATCCGGTGCCGCCCACCACGTACGAACGGGATAGGTACGAGTGGGGCGTCGGCGAGGAGGCAGACCTAATCACGCTCAGCCCCATCTTCGACCCGGAGGGCACCAGCTGGAAGCTGGCCGACGACATCACGGGGTACAACGAGACGGAGGGGATTGGAAAACCGCCCCGGCGCGCCCAAATCATCACGGCCTCGCGTATGTCGCGGCGACTGCTGCTGACCATGCACCGCGAGACAGCCTTCAAGAAGCACCACGCGTTTCCCGAGATGTGGCCCGCCACCGTCGCGCTGCACCACGGCCTCAAGGCCGTCTTTGCGCCGCACCCAGTCTTTGTCGACCGCGCGTGGCCGCCCGAGTACATGGCGCGCGTGGTCAACGGCGGGCGGAACGGCGCCTCGGGCGGGGCCAGGACGTCCGTCTACGGCGACCGCGAGCACAACATGATGGGCCTCACGTGGTTCTACAATGCCGGGTTCTCAGGAAACCTCTACCGCCGCTGGATGGGCCTGCGCGTCAACAATGATGGCGGCGAGCAGTTTGAGCTGACGCCCGACCTGAGCTTGGACGACAAGACGGTCGGCACCATGCGCGGCGGTGAGGGCCGCATGTGCCTCCCGCCCATGCTGCTGCATCCCGTCAAGGAGGTCGTGCTGCCCGTCGAGCAGCAGGCGGAGGTAGCTTTCGCCTCGGAGTCGGACCCTGCGGCATGAATGTTATGTTGTTGGTTTCGGTTCTAGTTCTGGCCGTGGTTGTGGATGTGGTTCTGGTGGTGTTGGGTTTGTCTCTCTTGCTGTCTCCGCGCTTTAGTTCGGCGTTCAAGGTACTCTTTGGGTATGGAAATCATGATATAGTCGCATGATGATCACATGGTATTATGGTATGGTATCCCGAAGAACGATAATGAATCGTCAGAGATGTGTTGATCGGCTTATATCCGCGAGGAAGAAGGTAGAATGGAAATGATTGTAGACGCTTCATATACATAGCATGCTTATTGTACTGGACATTCCCAAACCTTTCCGCGGGCCACGATTGTTTCATAAACTATCGTAGTCCACAGTCTTTGCAGCGTCAAATCTCCCGCCATTTGCCTCTATAGTGTTGGCCCTAACAGGCCGGCAAACTCAGCATATGGAGTGTAGGGACATGCTCATTCAATACGCCACATAGGAATAGCCGGCCCATTTTCATCGCTCCACATCCGTGTACCCTACACCAAACAGGGATATCATCTTCCATAAGTAATGCAAAAAGAATAATGCGAGATAGGCATTGGCCTTATACGACTCGCTTGACCTAGAACCGGGTAAGTGCGTCAGCGTTGCTCAATCTGTTGTTCCCTGGCTGGGAATCACAAAAGCTGGTCTGGCCGGCATACCTCAAAGAACCTCCGCAGCCACCAGACCTGGAACACGCTCTCGCCAATGACGACGCCAATCACGAACAGGTTCCACCACTTGACCCTGCTGTTGGTGCTCTCGGCCGTGTTGCGGTGGGTGCGCTCGCGCACCACAATGTAGCTCTGCTCGTCCTTCACCCGCTCGAGCATCTCGGACAGCCGGCGCACCTCAAACTCGAGCGGGTCCTGCGGCGCCTCGGCCTCGGACACGTACACGACGCCGTGCACGTTGAACGAAACCTCCTTGGACGAGGCGCCCCAGTGCTCGTTGCCAAAGCAGTACACGTACTTGCCGTCGTGCTTGGCGTCGAAGGAATAGTCGCCGTTGGATACCGACTTTTCGTTGAACTCGTACTGGCCCATCGGGTTGGTGATCTAGTTTTGAAAAGGGTTAGCAACAAGGAACAGAAAGGAAGTGGTATTGGGAATCGGCTCATCCATACCCAAAAGTCAATTTCGAGGTTGCCAGCACTGCCAAACTCCCGGTCGCCAACCTGGAACGAGACCGTCATCTTGTCGTCGCGATGCAGCTGCTCATGGAAGCATTCCCGCCCGTGGGCAGGGAGCTGGATGTTGTGTGCTATTGCTGAGCCAAGTAACAGGCCTGCTGAGAGCAGCAGCCTCGCGGCCGAGTGGACGAACATGGCGGCTTGTCGTCTTCGAGAGCGTGGTCGCGTGAAGATCTTGACCTGTGTTGCAATACCTGTCCGTTACCGCAGTCGGGAGCTGCACCAGGATTCAAGGGCATCCAAGGACACCTTGGCGATTTGGCGCTAGTGAGCGTTAGGCGTATCGTGGACTCGGCTGCAGACAAGGGACTGAGGCCCAGGCTACGTTATTTGACTGCTAACACCCTAGTGTGGGCCACTGTAAGAGATATGTTAAGGAACCGTTAGTGGCACGGTCCAACACCATTCCAGTACAGGCCCAGTACAGGTGGCGCGGGGCGGCTCGCAGTGTCAATGCCTGGCGATAAAGGTGTCGTCGAGGTAGCAGTGCACGGTCCCTTTATTCTCCTGGAAACCGCCCCAACGGCTGCCTTCCCTGGCCTGGCTCAGCCCGGCCCAAGAACAACTTTCAAAATCCAGTCGCCCCCGAAAGACTTCCCTTCCACACCGCCATCGTAACTTCATATCCAGCACCATTCTTGACGGTATTTAGCCGCGCCGCCATCTCGTTCGCTTCTTGGGTTCTCCCGGAATAGTAAGTTTCTTTCTCCGTTGACACCCGCCCCAGTGGATCACGGCTTCGGCCTTCTGCCTCGGCCTGCCGCCCGCTTTCTTGACTGCTTCCCCCCCCACACACCCAATAAAGACCCAAATACGCAACTTGCGCGCCTCCGAGTCCAGCAGAAAAAGCGGGCTGCTGTCCAATCCGCCTACGCCCCCGTCACGTTACTGGCTGCTGCTCGCGGTCCTGTTTTGTGCGTACGAAGCAGCCTGGCATTCCCTAAGGCCTCATTCTGTCCGCTTCTCGTTCGACAGAACTGCGCATATCTGTCCTCCTCAGACTACCCCAGTCGGCAGCTTTTAAACCCATCGCCTCGCGATTGCGACTTTCTTTGTGTCCGTATTACACAAGGGATCAGAACAAAACGTTTGGCAGGCTTAGTCCTTGTCACGAGTGCGCCGCGGCTTATCGCTCATCTGCTTACAAGTCACTTCAACAGATCCATCAAACCTAGTCCGTCTTTCCACTTCAGTCTTCATCAACCGCCAAGATGGGTATAGGAGGATCCAAGGTGTGGAGCTGGCTCTCCCTGCTCATGAAGCAGAAGGAGATGCGAATTTTGATGGTTGGTCTCGACGCTGCGGGCAAGACCACCATCCTCTACAAGCTCAAGCTGGGTGAAGTCGTCACGACGATCCCGACCATCGGTACGCCCCCTGTTAAGATCCACCACCCCTCCGATACAGGACGGTCAAGGTATCTGACGCTGTATTTTCCAGGTTTCAACGTCGAGACTGTCGAGTATCGCAACATCCAATTCACCGTGTGGGATGTTGGCGGTCAGGACAAGATTCGGCCTCTGTGGAGACATTACTTCCAGAACACGCAGGGTATCATCTTTGTCGTCGACAGCAACGATCGTGACCGTGTGCCTGAGGCACGCGAGGAGCTCCAGCGCATGCTCAACGAGGACGAGCTGAGGGATGCCCTTCTCTTGGTCTTCGCCAACAAGCAGGATCTGCCGGTGAGTCTGCCATCCTTGGTCTCTATGACGCTGGTTACTGATACAATTTTGTCGGCAGAACGCCATGAGCGTCGCCGAGATCACAGACAAGCTTGGCCTTCACAGCCTGCGGCAACGCACCTGGGTAAGATGGCCCGTTTGTTCTCTATCGTATATTCGCAAGCTCTGACCTCCTCGCAGTACATCCAATCCACCTGCGCTACTTCTGGTGACGGTCTGTTTGAGGGTCTGGATTGGCTGGCTACGGAAATCAAGAAGAACAACTAAAGCGACAGCGGAACACTGGGGATCGAAACCTCCCTTCCACCGGCCAAGCATGGTTCGATTGCGCCCCTATCAGGTATCTGTTAGGCAATCAGTCGACTAGCCCATGAAAAATTTTTACGGTTGATGCCTGCACCGTGAACGACGCGCATGATGAGAAGAAGTAGCAGGAGAGGCTGGCCGACGCTCGTTCTAAACTTAGGTCACTCTCGGGACGAGGAGGCACACTGGGTTGGGATCTTGTACAATTTGATACATCGTCAGGAGAGAGACATCAGTTCATCTTACTGCTTCCCTGGAACCCGGCCAATTTCATTGGTTCGTCCTGTGTCTTTTTGCTCGAGAGAAGGCTAAAGGAGAGAAGGGGTTTGTTGGCGAGAACCAAACAGGCGTGCAACGGTTTTTCTGGGAGGGCGATAGGAGTGAAGGCTGTAAACACAAGTTGATAATTTTACCAATCCTCAAGTTTTTTCCTTGTCTGCTCTCTCCAGTAAACTTTCCTGGCAATGATCTCTTCGATATCTACGGAGTACGGTAAGGTACGCGAATGGATCCTCTTGGAGTGGCTCGAGTGGCCACATACCGAAGGCAAGAGTCAGTCCATTAGTCACAACTTCAAACCTAGGCATCTATGCAGGAACGGCTGCCTACCTATAGGTATACTATACGAGGCTATATCTACTAGCGACGCATAGACAGCATTGGAGGCATCTAGTTGGACTCTTGTTCCACATCATCTCTCAAGTGCTTCGTATTCAAGCTGGATCAAGCTGGAAACTGACAAGGAGGGTACATACCCGCAAAGAGAAAGCCCAAGTAGAGAAATATGAACATCACCACACATATAATGTCCGCAACCGTTCGGCATGGTAGGTATCGTATTCTGAAGGGACTGTTTCCGAAAAACTTGTACATTTGGTATGTGGGTTACGTCCGGTTCTTATCATGTATTTTGACATTGACTTCGTAAATGCTATATACCCTATGAACAACCCGTTCGCCTGTATTGTACAATACAATGAAGTGGTGATCGTCCCTTATCATAGTTGAAAGAAAGCGGTAATCATGAACGCTCCTAGTGATACATATATCCGTTTTACATTACTGAAACAATTCATCTTACTTGATCGAACACAAGGGCTAACCGCCCCCTACTCCCGTCTATTGCCCACCGCTTGGTTGGCTCTGTATCATCAAACCAGTCCGGTCTTCCTTGATCCCGACAACAGCGACATCTCCCGACTTGACCTCGCCGCGGATAATCTTGTCCGCAAGGGCATTGCCAATCTCGGTTGTGATCAGGCGGTTCAGCGGACGGGCACCAAACTTGGGATCGTATCCTCTCTCAGCCAGCCACTCCCGGACCTCGTCGGGCACCGTAAGGGTAATGCGGCGGTCGTTCAGACGCTCTTGGAGTTCCCCGAGACGGATGTCGACAATGCCCCGAAGCGCCTGGAGAGAGAGGCGCTTGAAGATGATGAACGAGTCAATCCTGTTGAGGAATTCCGGCGGATACTGCGACGAGACGACGTCCATGACCGCCTTCTTGATGTCGGGATGGATGTCTCCGTCCGGTGTCTCCTTGTATGGGTGGATCGGATCGGCCCCGACAAGGATATCGGCGCCCAGGTTCGATGTCAGAACGATGATGGTGTTTTTGAAGTCGACCTTGTGTCCTTGCGCATCGGTCAGATAGCCCTCGTCCAGGACCTGGAGCAACAGCGCTGAGATGTCGCGATGCGCCTTTTCGAATTCGTCAAATAGAAGGACCGCGTAGGGTTTGCGCCGGACCGCCTCGGTCAACTGACCCGCATCTTCGTAGCCGACATAGCCAGAAGGAGCACCGATAAGGCGGGAAATGGTGTGCTTCTCCTGGAACTCGCTCATATCAAAGCGAACAACGGCGGACTCGGTGGAAAAGAGAAAGCCAGCGAGCTTCTTGCAGAGCTCCGTCTTTCCGACACCAGTGGGTCCGAGGAAGAAGAAGGATGCCAGTGGCCGGTTCTCGCCGCTGAGACCGGCTCTCTGCATCCTCACGGCGTCGGCAACTGCCTTGAGTGCTTCGTCCTGGCCACGAACGGATTGCCGTAAAATGTCCTCCATATGTATGAGCCGCTCCGTGTGCCCGCTCGTCAGTTTTGACACCGGGATTCCGGTGACTCTCGAGACCACGTTGGCGATATCGTCGGCTGTTACCGAGTCATGGATCAAGGTGCCTTCGGTCACTGCCCGCTCACCATCCTTTGGGAGCTTCTGCTCCAGGTTCGGGATGATGCCGAACCTTAGCTCGGATGCCTTGGCAAAGTTGCCCTCTCTCTGGGCCCGATCTAATTCGATCCGGGCCCGGTCAAGCTCTGCTTGAGCCTGCTTGATCGCATCGATCTCCGCCTTCTCCTTTTCCCATTTTTCCGTCAGAACCTTCACTTCTTCTTGGCACTTCTTCAGATCGGCCTCAAGCTTCTCGCGCCGTTCCTTACTCGCGACATCCTTCTCTTTCCGCAGACTCTCCAGCTCTATCTGAATGGTCATGATCTTCTGATCGAGGCGGAGAATATCTTCCGGTTTGCTTTCTTGTTGCAGTCTTAGCGAGCTTGCCGCCTCGTCCATCAGATCGATCGCCTTATCGGGGAGGAAACGGTCGGTAATGTAGCGGTTGGAATATGTCGCGGCGGCAACCAGCGCCCCATCGGTGATGCGGACGCCGTGATGGACCTCATATTTGTCCTTGATGCCGCGAAGAATACTGATGGTGTCTTGTACAGTCGGTTCGCTGACTAGGATTGGCTGGAATCGTCTGGCCAAAGCGACGTCCTTCTCAATCTGCCGGTACTCGGCGAGCGTGGTGGCGCCGCAGCATTGCAGCTCTCCTCGAGCTAGCGCGGGCTTGAGGAGGTTTGATGCGTCGATGGATCCCTCAGCCTTCCCTAGGCCAAGAAGTGTATGGAGCTCGTCGATGAAGAGGATGACTTCGCCATTCGCTTGTTGGACTTCGCTCAGCACTTTCTTCAGACGCTCCTCGAAATCGCCCCTAAACTTCGCGCCGGCGATGAGAGACCCGAGATCTAAGCTGATGACCCTCTTATTTTTGATGCTTTCCGGAACGGCGCCGCGTACAATCTCCAGCGCCAGCCCTTCTAGCACAGCCGTCTTACCAACACCAGCGCTTCCGATGAGAACAGGGTTGTTCTTCGTCCTGCGCGAGAGGATCTGTATCGTGCGCTGGATCTCGGCCGACCTGCCAATGACAGGATCCAGCTTGCCCTCCTTCGCTTTCGCTGTCAAGTCGATGCCATATTGTTCTAATGCCGGTTTCTCTGGTTCACCTCCGAGATTCATGCGATGGGTGCCACCCGGGGGGTGTGGTCTGCCATTGGAATATGCTCGGGCCTGTACGGTAGGAAGCGAGTGCGGCGAGCCGGATAGAGCCGCCGTGCGCGGAGCGGCGAAGCTGATAGCTCGAGGAATTTGACGCTGTCGCAACGCACCCCTAGAAGCCGCTACGAGCCGCCGAGAGGCGGTTGAAATGTATTGTGCTCTCGCCTGCATTTATTTAATAGCCTGGTTGCATCTCTCACTGCAATGAAAGCAAGCTCAACGTCGACAATTGTCAGGATCGTGAAAGTTGCATTTCCCACCTTAAAGTAACCTAACTAGTGACAGCAACGTGGCGATCAGAATCGAGTCGCCCGGCGGTGGAAAGCCCTTGGGAATATGAATGGAGCTCCGACGAAAGCTCTCGGAGTTTCTAAACCAGACCCGCTTAAGGTAGGAAAGGATTATCTTATCTTATCGATAACGATAGGGAGCTTTAAGGGAGTTTGTGGCTGTAAGCGGCTTAAGCCTTTAAGTTTTAACCACTTGAAGTGGGTCTCCGTTTCGTGCAATTTTTGTTGACTTTTGGAAGCGTCAACCAAATCTTTTTTCTTTCCTCTACCTCCCATCATCGAGGCTCGGAGAGGCGAACTCTTTGTTAGTTGAGATAAACTCGATGGGTTCTTTATGATCTGTGGCCTAGAAATCAATTTGTCCTCAGCACTCAGACACTGAGGTAAGCTTTCTTTCATCTGTTGCCCTGGCCTTCGTCTCGTTTTCTCCCTGATGATCCATATTGGTCCGTGTTACCAAGCAGCCTCAAGACCTGCAGATGACGACACAACCCAGCATGACAATGCGTTCTGAACCCTTGAGTTTTGAACTTGTTTGAGTGGAATTTATTCATCGAAACTTGCGCTGACCTCTTTCCTCAAAGTTAGGTATTGCCGTCAGGAGATGTATCGAGAAGGCGAAGAGAATATACTTTCCACATCCACCTCAAGTCCCTTTGCTGTCTCTGCATGTGATGACAAAGTCAACCTCTCTTCCTACGTCACCTTCTAGTCCTGCAACTTGAAGGACCTCTTTATTGAGCGCGGGTATTCCATAATAACTGCCAAAGCAACCTTTGTTGCGATGAAAGGAGCGTTATGATAGGATTCGAACTTCCGCAGGCAACATTGAGTCCCACAAAGTGCAAGTCGTGCCCGCACCCGGGAAGACACAGGCAGCACACCTCACACGCACTGTTTTCATTCGTAGGAGATATAGGAAACACTCCAAATCATGGAAAGCATGCCCCTTAATTGGCGGGATCTCAGGACGCCTTCAACTCTTGCTTGTGAAAGACAGAATTCAACAGCTCTAATAGTCAGATGTATCCATCCAAATACGTCGAATGCATATATATACGTAGTACTACGGCGTCCCGGTCTGGTTGTATTGCCTCAGACTTTGCTGTCAATCCTCCTGCTGTCAGCTTGGTGTAGTGGAAGTGGGGACCTTGGCCCGTCCACTGCAATTGGTCCTGCAAGCCGTGACCTGACGCGCCGCGAACTTGCACTCCTTCGCTTCTTGAGAATCAAGGCAGGCCTTGAATCTAACGCTTAGAAGCCGCGGATCGTTATTGAATTACGCATCGCAACTTCTGGTGTGATCAGGCAAACCGTGTATCCCGTAATCAGTTCCTGATTCGCAAAGATGCCCATGTACGGGGATTTGGGCAACAAGCTAGTCTGTGAACATCTCATCACCCAAACTGTATCAGTTGGGTATGAACCACTAACAAACACCTTTTACAGGTCCAACACGCCAAACGGACACAGGGTTTGGCACATCTACCACCGTACCAGACCGAGCTTGTCCGCGCCGCGACAAGAGAGGTGCGCGATCTGGACAAGGACGTGGCGAGCTTGCTCGAGCCATTCCAAGGCTCATTTGATCCGACGGCGGACCAAGCCACGGCATGCACGCTGCTAGTGAACCACTTGTCCATGCGAAGGAACAAGCGCTGCCTCCTTGCCTACCATCGGACCCGTACTGACAAGCTGGAGGAGCTGGCCTGGAACGGGACCGACATCCTCGAGCTTGCTGGACAGCAAGCCGGCGGGACAAACGGTGCGCCTATCGCCGATGCTGGGGAAGCCAGCAGTCTCAGCCCCCAGGAAGAAGACTATTTCCGGCAGTATGGAGATCTGCTGGCTGCGTACAAGGGTCAATGGACAGACATAGACTTGACAGGAAGCCTCGAGCCCCCGAGGGATCTGTTCATTGATGTCCGGGTGCTGAAGGATGCTGGCGAAATTCAGACTGAATATGGGTAGGCTACAGTTCAGAGTTTTCGAGATTCTTCGCATCCACATTACCCCAAAGCTAATCTTGGTTCCAGCGCTATCAACTTGACCAAGAATAGCCAATTCTACGTCCGGCAAGGCGATGTGGAACGCCTGATTGCGCAAGGCTACCTTCAGAAGCTTGGGTGAAAGCTGCTTAGCACCGGTAACATGGACGAGCCCATCTTTGCTCAGACCATCTGCAGACTACTGCAGAAGTGAGAACCTTGCGAGGTGCAAGCCCTAACAGCTATGGCTTGGTTGGAGCTCTTATGGCAGTTAGGTGACCCCTACGGCGCTGGGGGCTAGTCATGCTCAGAACCGACGGCGCGTTCTGCCGGACGAGATCCTGATGGAATCTCGCACCACAATGGCGATGGACGACGTTTTTGTTCAGAGAGCGAGGTAAAAGGGGGGCCGCAACACGGCACAACAAAGCCAGCCCCATTGTCAAGGTTGCGAGGTGGGGGTCATGAGGACTGAGAACACGAACGGAGCTGGGAAAGCCACTGCAACCCAGCGCCAAGCTACCCTCATGCATCGGCTGTGGCCGCGCGAACCCGCGCGTGTTGAGAAACCACACCTGCAGCTCACATGCCCTGCAGACATTTTTCCATGCGGAAAGACATTGTCGTCACAGTGGAATGGACTGTGGCCGGGAGAAGCACCCGTAGCGGATTGCAAGACATCAACGGTTTGGATTCTATGTCAATTCAATCCGGCCGGCTTTCAGATACGAGCTGTATGGAATCGGCGTTTCTGCAGCGTTCCTCAGCGTTTGAAACCCCTTTGAGGTGGATAGGCCGAGCAACGTTAGGGAGACACGCCCGAGGCGCGCGAGGCACGGCAACTGATAAGCTACATACGGAGTACATACCTTGGTGGGAACGACTCGCTCCGGCCGGGAGGTTGAACCCCTGTTCTGCGTCTGGAAATACAATTAACACTGTGTGACATGCATTCAATTCAAGTTGGCTCCGATGACGACGTTGATTCTTCACCCCCACCAAGCTTTCATATGCTTCAATGTTCCAGGCTGAGCAAGGCCGTCAAAGTTGCTCGAACGCGGCCGAAAGTCAGAGAGAGTTCGCTTGTTCGAGATGCAACCTATAAGCGACCTTCAGATCCCTCGGACACCTAGTTCGTGCCGCGAGAAGCTATGGGTCAAATCTTTTGGTCACAGTGTTGGCCCTCAACGTTATCTTGATTGTAGATCAAATCTATGTGGGGCCAACCAAAGGCGAAAATATCACCCTATCTCTGCCGTTGCTTCGGATAGGATTGATCTAGCAATACATGTCCCGAGCTCATAGCTGCAATGGTTCTCCAACTCTTATCGACTTGGTGTTGTTCAGCCAAAGCAGGGCACACAATAGGCTGTCTGCGTCCAACTGCCTAGGCCCAACCCTTATCCTAAGCACATCATCTGCTGCACTGGTTGTTCCATTCGTTTTGCGCTAGCTTTCACCATCTCAAGCATTGGGGCTTTGGGTTTGTGGAACCAAGATGCGATCCTAACGATCCTAACGATTGGCCCACCAGAGATTTCATCTTGAGGGTGCTTGCAGCTTGACACGGCTCACGCCATGGCTTCTCCTGGGTCTGGCATCGCTCCGCGTGGAAGGAGACATTCGTCCGTTTCCTCGGGAGACGCGCACGAAGGCGAACATGCAAGCCCATCTAACCATCTTCACCTTCCACCGAATACCAACAGTGAAGGGCGGCACCTTTCCTCCTCGGTTGGTTCTACAGGCCACCGCGAACCCCTAAGGTCCTTTATACACGGCTCTGTTAGGGATCATCTCGGTTGGTTGTCTCTGTTCCCGAAATAGACTTCAAGTAGTTGTTCTAATCCGCTCCAGCAGCCCCCTTAGATAGCGTACAGTCTGCACGCTCCGTCCGTGAGGACACTGCCGAATTAGCCAGCTACTTGCTTTCCGCCAAAAGAGACGGGCGACCTGCTCCATTCCTATCCCGGCCCCGATCCGTTCCCTCCCAAGCATCCAAACCGGACCGCGAATTATCCACTCCAGAGATAGTTCGTCCGGGCCCTAGTCGCGCGAGAGCATCCGAGATTATAGATGAGGTATCGGAGCCACCGTCCCCCAAGGAGACCGATGACCAAGCTACGAGCGGTCCGTCAATGCTCACCGCGATGTTTAGAAGGTCACCGCCTGACCAGGCTTACAACATACCGCCAAAGGAGGACCAAATACACGAAGATAGTTTCTCGGTCGAGGAAGGCGAGGATGACGGCCAATCCGACGTGAGGGTGTCCACTCCCGAGCCGCGACCCTTGCTAGCCCATCGCGATACGGGAGACGAAGCGAGCGAAGTGTCCCCATTGCTACCTGCTCGATCCCGAGAAAGCAGGGGAAGCTATGGAATCAGCAATGGAGGCACAGGATATGATGTGGAGGGTCAGAAGAGCCCACGCCATACAAAGTGGCTGGGGAGGGCGGTCGACTCAATCCGGAGAAAAGGAGTCCGAGTGGTTAGTATTCTCCCGTCTGCGGAAAGTCCCAAGCACTGGGACCGCCACACCCTCTGGAGGAACTTGGTCGTAGCCCCAATTGCCTGCCTTCCTGCAGTCATCGTTGGGCTACTTCTCAATATTCTGGACGCATTGTCATACGGTAAGCGTCACGGCTTTCGCTACCTTGGCCATGGCCTAACTGGATCTAGGAATGATTCTCTTTCCCCTTGGGAGCCCGATCTTTGCCGGCTTGGGGTCTGCCGGAATATCCATCTTCTACGTCAGCACCATCGTCTCACAACTGACCTTTTCGCTTGGAAGTATATTCAAGGGCGGCGTTGGCTCGGAGTTGGTAAGTTTCAGCAGAATGTTAAAAGGAGGATACGTAGAATACTGATTTGTACCTTCCAGATCGAAGTAGTGCCTTTCTTCCACAGCATGGCTGCCACCATCACCGACATAGTTGGAGAAGATGACCCCGACGCAGTGATTGCCACTACGATCACTTCGTACGCGCTGAGCTCCATGCTCACGGGTACCGTCTTCTACCTTATGGGAAAGTTCAAATTTGGCTACATTGTGGGCTTCATTCCCCGCCACATATTGATCGGTTGCATCGGCGGTGTTGGATGGTTCCTGGTTGCAACAGGATTCGAGGTAACGGCCCGGATGGATGGGAGCCTCAACTACGACATCAACACTCTCAAGCGACTCATTCAGGCCGACACGGTTCCCCTCTGGAGCATCCCTCTTGTGCTGGCACTCATTTTGTTTTACAGTCAATCCAGGATCACTTCTAAATACTTGCTCCCTCTATACATCCTCTCCATTCCCGCAGCTTTCTATGCCATCGTTGCTGCTCTAGGTTCATTGAACCCGGAGCGACTGCGAGATGGAGGCTGGGTCTTCGAAGGGCCCCCTGCTGGAGAGCCCTGGTGGTACTTCTACACACTGTATAGTATGACTGCCACCTCCTACGCCGGTAAACTGCTGAATTCGCTGACGAGTCTCTTGCAGAGTTTGGCAAAGTTGATTGGGGCGCTATCGTACAATGCATTCCGGCCATGTTTGCCCTGACCTTTTTCGGCATTTTGCACGTTCCGATCAATGTGCCGGCGCTAGCTCTCAATACCGGCGAGGATCATGCGAACCTTGATCATGAACTAAAGCTGCACGGGTACTCTAACTTCCTCTCCGGTTTGGCAGGTAGCATCCAGAACTATCTCGTCTACGCCAACAGTCTGTTTTTTATGCGCTCAGGGGGCAACAGCCGACTGGCCGGCATAGAGCTAGCGATCCTCACCTTCCTGGTCATGACAGTTGGACCCTCCTTGGTTGGCTTCATCCCGGTTATGATGGTCGGCGTCCTCATCTTTGACCTAGGTTTCGAACTCCTACTCGAAGCAGTGTGGCAACCGCGGAAGAAGCTGAAGCTGCTCGAGTACATGACGGTGATTGCCATCGTCCTTATCATGGGGATCTATGACTTTGTCATTGGGATCGGAGTGGGAATCATCCTGGCATTCGTCTCACTTACTGTCCAAACATCAAGAGTTTCGGCCGTCCGGGCGAGCTACTCCGGCGAAGTGGTGGGCTCGACGGTCAGAAGGAACCCGACCCAACAACACTACCTCCAGCAAGTTGGTCGTCAAATCAATATCATTAAGCTCGCGGGTTATTTGTTTTTCGGTACAATCGTTAGCGTGGAAGATAAAATCAGGGCTCTTATCACGGACGAGGAGTTCAGCCGACACCCAATCAAGTTCCTCATCCTTGATCTCTGGTTGGTGACGGGTCTCGACTACTCAGCAGGAGAGGGCTTCAAGACGATCAGCCGTCTACTGAACGGCAAGAACATTGAGCTTATCCTCAGTGGAGTTGAAGCGGAACTGCCCCTCGGTCGGAGCCTGCGGGCGGTTGGGCTGGGCGAGGATGGCGTGGAGGTCAAACTGTTGCCCAACCTCAACTCTGCTCTCGAGTACTGCGAAAACGAACTCCTCAAGACGTTATATAGCGATCTAGAAGACTCGCAGAGCTCACATAGCGTCTCAGCAGCCAACTTGGATGTTCCAGGGTCGCCAGACGTCAATCCGCTAACAGGGGATATGCTCGGCTCATCCCCTCGTCGCAATCTCCTCCGCGAAGCCGCGCGTAAGTCGCTTGGGCAGGTCGAAGTGAAGCGCATGTCACGCTGGCAGAGTTTCAAGGAACCTCTCCGGCTGCTGTTGCAAATCTTTCGGGACGTGAGCGACAAGAACGAGGACTTTTGGTTCCGCGCCGTCGGCTACTTCCAACGCCGCGAGTACGCGGCGGGCACGGTCCTGTTCCGGCGCGGCGAGCGCGCAGAAAGCTTTTACCTGCTCGAATCGGGCATCCTGAGGGCCGAGTACGACCTGCCGCAGGGCTGGCTGCTTGAAAGCATCGTGGCCGGCACGACGTGCGGGGAGCTGCCGTTCTTCTCCGAGACGAACAGGACGGCGACGTGCGTGGTGGAGCGGGACTGTGTGGTGTGGCTGATGGACAAGGAGAACTGGGAGAGACTGCAGAAGGAGGAGCCCGATGTGGCTCAGGAGCTGCTGCGAATCTCGCTCAAACTGACGAGCGAGCGGATGGGAGTAATCACGTCGTATACCCTCACCATGGCCGGGTAAGGAGGGTGTTGTGTGTGATACCCAGGTGGTGTTCAGCGAGCATTTGTTTTGATGATGTTGAGCGGAATGGCTTATACCCCTGAATCGGTTCAGAAGGAAGAAGCTTCTACCCCTGAGTCTATATTAGAATGTAAACAGTAGTTTCGCCAACCGATCTTGATGCCCTTCCTGGCTTCCCCCAATTCTTTCCGTATATGGCTGAATGAGGTAGACAAGCAAATCAACGTTCCTAAGTCAAGCCCCCGGGTAACGTAGGTACGAGTCTATGACATAGACTTTGACGTTGCTTGTTCTAATCATCTTCGTAGCACAGGGTCGTAGGAAACAGGAATGTTGATAAATCTCCGCCAAGGGTTGGTATAGCATATCTATATGAAGCAGGTGCTCGTTACATGGCTGCATTGGGTATATAATTCAAGTCCCCCTTTCTACTTTGAACCCCTCACGGGTAGGAGTGGCAAAGTGATAGTAGTAACCAGTACTCCCTCCCAACTCGACGAAGGTCCACTCTGGCTTGAGATCGCTGTTCTCAACGGCGGGGTTTTCGATGGTGCCACCCCCCTCCACAGAAGATGCCTTTGTCCTTGCGTTTCCTGAGCTTAGGGTTTGTTCTGTGTATCACCGCCGGGACCCTTGAGCCTCATCACCCGGCGGAACCGAGGGCCAACGCTCACTGCCTCCCCCTCTTCCAAACCATTTGCCCACGGTCTCGCCGTCGGCTGGCCTGCTGCTGGCCTCCAATTCCGCCGCTTGGACCCCGGGTTCCAACCGTATTTGGACTCGCCGTTCGTAGACACCTCGTAGTTTTTTTTAGTCATAAGGTATCGCGCTTGTTTGTGGGCTTGAACATGTATGTGAAGACGGGTGGGCTTCTGCGCTGGTGACCGGCGAGTGGACGACGGCGGTGTCTGTTCCCAAGTTTTGAGACTCACTCTGCGTCAATCGTTTGGCTAACTGCTATATAGAATTTCACCGGACAGCAGACGAGAGAGCAAGTGTACCGGTGCCAAGCAGATTCCATGTCCTGCATCATGATATCTGCAACAGGTATATGTTGGAAGCCAATTCAGACGGCACACCTGTCTGTAGCAAGAAGTGGTTGATTGACTCTGGACCTGAGATCGCTGCTCTCTCTACAGTAGAAACACAACAAGGACTGGTACAAGTAAGACCTCAAGAAGGTCCAGTTGACTACTCAACGCAAATGACCCTAGAAGTTGGCCGTCACACCAGGCTGAATAGCCTCCAACTTGGCCTTCAGCTCGGCCCACAAGCGATCCTGCACGTCTGGGTGCTGCGTTACGACATCGGACGGCTGGGCGACCTTGCAGTCCTCCAGGTAGTGTCCATGGGACTTGGCGCCCTGCACGCCGGCGTCGACCAACGTCCTGCTCCCCTGCTCGGTTGATCTCGCCAGCAGCGTCTTCATGAGCGTAAAGGCGACCTTCTGCATCCCCTTGGCTTCGCGAGACAGATCCGAGTGGCAAAGCCCGGGGCTGGGGAGGTTGATGGTTACCGGGTACGTGTCTGCGGGATGCTCCTTGGCGATGCTGCGGACGGCGAAGATGCCCAGCAGCTTGGAGATGGGATACTGCTCCATCCAGTATTTGCCGCCGGCGTAGTCCTTGTCGTTGAGTGCGGCGAGGATGTTGGCCTCCTTCATTTGCGGAAATGCGGTGTGCCTGTGAGCGCCGGAGCTCGTAATCACGAGGCTCGGGAGTGTCTTGAACTGCTCGGCGGTGGCCTTGAGCTTGGGCAGGACAAGAGCAACGAGGTAAAAGGTCGAGATGTAGTTGACGGTGATGTTAGTCTCGTTGTCCTCGGCCAGGGCGAATTCGGAACGAACGAGGCCGGCGTTGGCATGGAAGATGTCGACCCGTTCCAGTTCGGCCTCGACGCGCGCAGCAAAGGCTCTCACGCTGGCGTAGCTCGCCATGTCAACCTTCCATACCTCAATCGAGACCCCCTTGGCGGCCGTTGTTTGGATGTCCTTCTTGGCTGCCTCGCCCTTGTCGAGGTTGCGGACGGCCAGAACCACTTTGCACGCGCCCAGGCGTGCGTAGTGGCGCGCGGCTTCCTTTCCCAAGCCTGTGTTGCTGCCGGTAATGACTATGGTCTGGCCGGCATAGCTCGTGCTGGGGTAAGGCAGCTTCAACGTTTCTATGAGTTGGCTGCGTAGGAAGCCCATGGTGATAGTCCAAGGGCAATCAAATTCGGTCCTGAGGAGAACAAAACCCAAGATCACTTGGAAGCGAAATGCCAGCTACATGTAGCCAGAGAGAACACTGAAAAAGCCATCCTTGTGGTGTTGAGAACTGCTACCTTATATATTATAGGAATTTGTGCCTTGTAGGTTGTAGAGGGCGGGATTGGAACACCGGAATCTTGACCTCAAGTCCTGGATGATGAAGGAAGGATCTCTCCCCTGGAGATGGAACCAGTGCGACTCCCGGAGCTAAGAATGAACGGATTTCCGAAATCCGGCTCCAGCCCAAGTATGTACAATCTAACATGGATATGACAATCTAGCGGCTAACTGAAAGGAAAAAGATTCAGTAGATAGTGAAGCCCGAGTTGCGGTTGAGTTAAGATGATTTGTATGATGGAAGACAGTTACAATTGTAAGTACGGAGTTTAGTAGGTAGACGCGAACCACGGCCCACTTCCGCCACAATCAGCCACTGCCCAGGCTTGGCGATACTGTTTTTAACTTTCCAAACAGGAGATTCTTGGCAACAAGCAGCACGACAATTGCGACAGGACTCACGGCGGCTATTCCCATCTTAGGTCCGTTTGCTGCCAGCGTTCCTTGATCTCTCAGCTGTGCGCGGCCCTGCAAACTTGGCTAGGACACGACATCTTACGGGCCTTTTACCTGCCCACCTATGTAGGCTCGGTGATGGCATCAGTTTGGTCCGTCGAGCAACGTCTAATGGGAGTTGATTACCAAGTTCTCCGATAAAAGATTAGCATCCGGCCGGTGGCGATACTCCCGATGTTTCCTCCCGATGTGGGGCCGTTCCTAGTGTTAGGAAAGCCTTTGACATCGCGCCCTGCTGATGTTACACGAGTCCTGCAGCCTTGTTCAAAATATGTACTACTTGGGAGCGCTGTCTCGGGACTAAGGCAAATTATTTCCTACACTCACACACCACCGGAGAAGGCCCCATCAGCACCATGACTCTACACTCCATCCTCGGCGGCTCCCGCATCAAGAAGAAGAAACGACCATCATCTTCGTCTCCCTCTTCCTTTTCCTCCTCCTCTTCATCAACATCACGACCGGCCAACGGCAACAACAAGGTACCAATCCGCCAACCCGGCCGGAAGGAGCGGGAACTCGAAGACCTGGGCCCGGCCCGGCTCCTCCCGCCGGCCGCACTCCACTCAAAGTTTAGTGACAGTCTGAACCCGCCAAGGACCATGACATTGGACACCCTGCAAACTCACACCGCCATCCTCTCCTCCATGTTTGACCCGCTCCCCCAATCCCCGTCGCTCCCCTCGGCAAAGACGGCCTCCGTCCTCGCCTTCCGCGCCGCCCTGCCCAGCTTGGTCTCCCTCCCCCACCTGCACTCCGCCATGCTCGCGTGGGGAACGCGGGGCGCCCGCTCTCCGGCCGAGGCCGAGCGCGCCATTGCAGCCCTCGTCGCGGCCGGCAGACTGCGGCGTGTGGCCGTCCCCACCCGCGGGAGGATCGGGGAGATGGTGGTTGATGCTGAGTGGTTTGATGCCTGCCTTGCTACGAGTGCTACGAGTAGTAGTGGTGGGAGGAAGGCTGGGCCCTGGGGGTTGCGGGAGGCGGACGTGGAGGGTTTCAGAGCGTGGTTGAAATCCCATCCGGCTGCGGTAAGGGTCAGCGTTGGTAGCAGGGACGGGCTTGCGTTGGGCCTAAGAGAAGTGGATGCCCTGGTCAGGGCCGGGTTCTTGACGGCGGTTAGTACTAATACTACCGGTACAACCGGCAGTGCTGGCGCCGGCGGTGGTGCGTCCGGAGGGAATGGGGGCTTCATGTTGTATGCCCGTCCCGAGGCGAGGTACGCCAAGCTCAGCTTGGAATCGGTCGCCCGTGCCGCGACGGGATCGGTCGCGGCCGTGGGTGGGGAGGGGGTTCTTCATTCCGCCGGGGGGACCGGGGTGCGGGGGGGTACTGCGGCGGGCTCGTCACCCTCCGCAGTAGTGTCGGGTGAGTTTAGCATTGCGGTGCCCGGGAGCGGCGCGTTCCTCAAGTTGGTCTCGGCGTCGCTAGAGCACATCGCGGACCTGCTGCGCAAGACTCCGTACCGTGAGATGCCCGAGTCGGGTCTCCGGGAGAAGTGGGATGGTGGTGTTGTGGACGGGACTAGTGGCAGCGAGGCGGCGCTGGCGAAGCGGGCGCGAGGTGAGTTCGCGGGCGTCATGCCGGGGCGGACAAGGAAATGGAAAGAGTTCCACGGGCTCGCATTCGATTGGGTACTGCTGGAAGCTGTGGGGGCCGGTCTAGTCGAGATCTTTGAGACGGGGAGTGTGGGACGTGGCGTACGGTTGGTTTGAAACCATTGTATTGCTGATTCGAATCGTACGTCCTCGGCTCCTCGGGTAGGAGCCCGAATCGTTACGGAATAACTACGTCGACTGCGACCCGTGACAGGGATCTTTCAAGCTAGCCGGCTTGTCCTTGCTCAGCTGCCGTGTGCTACGGCTATGGGTCTTTTGGCATCACACAGCGGCATGGGGACGTCCTATGGGCCCTCCCATCCCGGCCTCTGACGCTGGTCGGGGTGGAAGCTGCTTGCTCCCGGGATCTAGATGGAGCCTCGGCCGTCTGGCTCGATGCGGGTTGCTCCATGCTTGCTCAGACTTCAAAGCGAACAGGGTTCAAAGACCTAGGTTTTCGCGCCCGGATAGAGCACGGCAGGTCCCGTGTCTGAGGGGCAGGCTGAGTCAATTGATCAACGACAGGGGTGAGTTATTATCTGGAGTGTAAGAAGCACATCAGGTCATGCCCCTGAGGTACATACCTGATCTCGCCGTTTTAGAAACCCGGGGAAGATCCATGACGTCTTGAAACACTTTGGCGCTTCTAGACGAGTTGGGAGGATGCACATAAGAAGAGTCTTCCTATAGGTCACGTACCTTGCGAGCCACCCGCAGCCTTTGAAACGTATAAAGGCTAGTATCAAACTGGAACGACGGCCACCGGTGTGATGCCAACTGGCCAAAGAAATTCAACCACAGCGCCCAAAGTAAGTGGTAGTCTTGCTAACATAGGTAGCATGAAGGTTGATTTGGAATGTCTGATGCATACTTACCTTACAAAAGGTTACAGCGTGAACATGAGGTACTACTAGTATCTTCGCAGAACACCTGCTTCTGATTGACCGTGGATGTCCGTTCTAGATGAAACGGCTTCCGAGCACTCTAGGGGCTTGGGTTTGAATTCCGTCTACATCCAAAAACGTGAATGCGATTGCCTACTAGCCTACTAGCCTACTGGTAGTATCCGCATAAGTTCTATAGGCAATTGTCACTATGAATTTGAGTTACATACACATGGCCCCTGGGGGGGGTTTTGTAGGTAGGTTCTTGATCATAAGCAGTAGGTACCTCAACAGGCTTCAGATAATGATTTGATTATGATCAGAGTATCATCATAATATGAGCTGGCTGCCCCCTTATATACTTTCCGTCGACTAAGCACAGCAACATCCCGAATGATACAGTACAGACGGCAAAAGCCTAGGTACCTAGGTAGGTAATGTTATGTTATCCTCGTCGCAGTCCCAGGTCTTCAGACCAGACATGTAGCTTTATCAGATATCTGACCTTCCTGTTCAGAAGACTTCCTTGTCTTTGACAGAACGGTCCAAACGTCCCGTAATGCTCTCCCTCAATCAAAGACGCAGCCCGCCGCCATTCACAAACATCACGGACAGCCTCAGGCTGTGACTCAGGGAAGGTAGGTAGCCAGGTAAGTACTTAAGGTACTGTACCTAAGCAACAGCATCTGCCACGAGTTACTTGGATATTCCAAATTCGGTGAGGTATTTAACCCGTTTCTTTGGTGACATGGCTGATGCGAAAGACCACTATCAGTTCTGGTCTGGAGGATTGAAACCCGGGATTATGCCAACCTTGAAGCAGAGCTTCCAATTCGCTGCCAGTACTAGTGTGATCACGGTACTAGTATGATAGTATCTCACTAGCCAGAGCACTCTTTTAGCAAGTTGAGGGGTCAAATACTAGTAGCAGGGCTTTCCCTCCCCTTGATATCGTGTCTAACGTACGTTGTTTCCTGCCCATGCGGATGCCGCAGCCACTTTCAATGCTTGACACCATGACCCCCGTGCGGGTGCATACCTCAACCTGTTTCATGTTCTAAGCAAAGAATCAGTTTCACCAGCACTCACATCCACAGGGCTCCCATGCCCCGCATCCGGTACCGCGAGCCAAAGCAAAATGGTCCGGGCGATCGCGAAGACAGCATAGTAATCAAAGGGCAAAAACCGACCAGCTGGTACCACGCCTTGAGCATGTTCAAGTTCACATTGCCGGCGCCGGGCTCCTCCCAAGAGAAGACAACCCGCCCCAACCACGCAAGGGGGAGCAGCGCAAAAAGACTAGTTGCCCAGGCGATGTCCCGGTGGGAGACACGTGCCAATACCGTGACGTAGAGCAAAAAGCCATCATACTTATAGCATCCAAGGTCAGGACAAGCCGGGCCAGGTTGAGGCTGTCGCCGACATTGAGAGATTTTTGAACAAAGAACTGGGATCCCTCGACCCGGCTCCTTCGCTGGTGCAGTCGGACGGTTGGTCAAGACTCTCGAGAAGGGCAATCGACTTATATGTATTGTATTGTACAGTACTGTACATACATAAGGCACATACAGTTAACCCGGGCGGCCGCGGTAGCAGTGGAGGCGGGAGGGTCAGCTCAGAAAGCTGTTACAATATTCTGTATGTACTTCGTACGTATCGTATGTACCGTAGTATACTGTATGTGCAGTACATTACAGTAATAGCAGATTCAGGGGGCTATCCATGGGTGTTAAGAGTATCCCACCTAGCGCGAGTTCCAGTGGAGGCACATCACGGCCATCACCGGCAACCAACGTCGGTAGCAGCAGACAGACGGCCACAGCAACGGGACGGTGAGGCAATATGCCGCAATCTATATGAATCGGCCAAACAGCATCAAACAGAGTGACCTCACCGAGATGTCGACTTCCATGTCGACTTCCAGGGGTGCCAGCGGACGACATCACGACAAGGAACGCTACATGCTAGGTAGAGGATTCACCGGGCTGGAAGCAAAGGCGATAGCGCAAAGGGCCACCGGCCGGAACGGAAGCACAGGCATTCAACACACTCCAAGTGGAGACTGAGCCTAGGCTATAAAGTATAGGGTCGACTGCAGTTAGCCTAGGTGTTGGCTAAATGAGCGTAGGAAGAATGCGTCGCAGAGGTGTAGGCAGTTCTTGAAAGCCAATTGACATGGACAGTCAGCGTTCCATGTTAGGCAAATAGCTGCGCCATCTGTATGTATAAGGTATTGTACTGTGCAGTACTTACACAGTGTGTAGTAAGAACCTGGAAGCTGAAGCACTGGCTTAACTGGTAGTTCGTTAGACCCCGCTTTAGCTGCGGAGCACAGGGTACGTTAGGTATTGAAAACTTGGAGAGCAGAGTCTCTATGTCCATCTGCTGAGAAACAAGGCAAGAAGCTCTCAAGTTTCTCATGATGATGGCGACTGTTCTCTTATAATTGTAGGTACACAAAGTACTTGCAAGGGGTTGTTTGCAAAGGATTGTGCTTCACACGTCCAAGCTTCCGTCAAGCCATTGTGAGCTGGAAAGGAAAAAGCCTCCTGACCCAGGGACCAATTGCGTTGCCGCTGTGTGTGATGAAAACCCCTGGCCTGCCCGTATTGCCAAGCCGAACCTCTCCCAAACAGGCTTAATTAATGTTGGCCCCGGTTGCCGATCCCTGCAAGACCAAGAGCTCGGCGATGCTGCGTGCTCAAATTGCTTCTTGCGAAAAAGGCAACGATCCAACCTCGTTGGAGCAGGGTCCATCAGGCTCAAATTTCTGGATAGCCAAGCAGATAACAGAAAGGGGGCCCGGGGAAGCAAGGGGACAGGGGCATCCATCGTTAACGTTGCCGTTGCTGTGAGGTTGTAAATTGGGGAAAAGGGAAAACATCGCCCACCTGTTCGTCCCTGGTCGCTCATCCCATCTCACAACAACCATCATCGCGCCGTGAGGGCATTTTGCGCTTCGAAAGAGCTGGAGGCTTGCTTGATGCGCCCTCATTCACGCGGCTGCAAATTCCCCCAACTAGGTAGTCGGGCACTCATTGTAGCTTTAGCACGCAATAATTCCCGCCGAGTCTCGAACTTCATTCTCTTCCATTTGTTCACCCCTCGATCGTTTCCCAGCGACGATCTTTCTCACCCAGTCGCCAGTCGCCAGTCGCCAGTCGCCAGTCGCCAGTCGCTAGTTTCGCTTGATCACCAGCCGCTCAACCGCGACCAGACCCGAATTCTGCATACCGGTCATCCGCTCGTTTCAACTACTTAGCATGGTGCTTGGGCTGTCGACTTTGGCGTCTAAGATTAGGTTTATAGACGCCAGGGCTGGACTGGAAGCTGCTCAGGCCCACTAACTGGTCTCCCCGCCACCACACTCTCGACGACTCGACCTGTCCGAATATCCCTCCTTTCAACGCTCTGATTCGACGCCACTTTCGGATCCGACCTGACCGAGATAATCTGCTTGTTGCTCGCCGCGCCAAAAAAAAAAAAAAAAAACCACTCAGAGACCCGAAGAGACGGGTTGACAACGCGTCTAATCCTCGTTTTCTCTCCCATCCGCCGCCTGTGCCTCCTGGATACCTTGCGGAGAGCCGAACACCAAACGGCATAGCGCAGCCATCACGCTATCCGTAACCCCGAAACAACACAACTTTCGTTCCCTCGGTGCAACCTTAGCTTGCTGCATTGTATCTCGTCCTTTTTCTTTCTTTCTTTTTTTTTTTTCGATTCTTCTCAGTCGTTTCGAAAGCCACTTCTATTACCGCATTTCGCTCGCGCACTCCAGCTTCTCGATTTAGGTCCCGACCAAAGCGGCCCGACAACCACAGCAACGACATTCTTTTATCGTAGCTCCCAGCAAATCGCTACAGAATACTCGAGCAAAGTCGATATTTGGCGCCATCTCTCCGGCGTACCCTTTGCAATAATGCTGATGAATGTCCCCGGGTTCGAGAATTTCCTCTAGTGCAGCCAGGATTTGCTAGTCGCGTTCTGTTCTGACCCATCCTTCAACGACTTGGCCGGGGACAACACAGAGATGTCGACAGCAATTCCAAGGCCTTCCCGGCCATCGAACGGTCCACCAGCAGGAGCCCTCCCCGCGCTCCCCGTGGTCAAAACAAGAAAGAGCACTGGCGGCTTGGCAATACCCTCGAGCCGGTCAGTATCAGCATCTCCCAGAACAGGTCGCCGGGCTCCCTCTACAACCCTACTTCCTCCTCCTGCTTTGCCGGCTCCAACCGGAGCACTTCCTCAGCCTAGGTCGGTCTCGGGCGTCAACGCCGCTGGCAAGACAATACGGAAAACCGTCAGCATCAATTCTTTCCCTCAGCCGCCCCGTTCTGATGGTCGGGTATCCAGCCTCCCTCCAAGTCCCTTATCCACCAGCGCCCCTTCGCGAAAATTAAAGACACCAACCACACCTACATATCAATTCTCGAGTGGGACACCAAGCTTGCTCAACGGCACCGGCGAGGGCAGATTAGTATCTCGACCGGCAGGCACGAGGAATTCCGATGGTCTAATAAGTATCTCGTCCCCGCCGCAGAGTCGCAGCTCTTCCGCACAAGACTCGTACTCTACCTCAGCAACCCAGTACGACGATGTCAATGACGCGATGCAGCAAAGGTCGGATGCCTCGACTGGCGGAAAGCGTAACTCCAAGGCGGACGGCAAGGGAAATGTGGTTGTCAGTGTCAGAGTGCGGCCCGATGCCGCTGGCAACGAGAACAAGGCGGATGGAGAATGGATGGTTGACGGAAGAAAGTCCCTGATTTCCTATCGGGGAAAAGAAGGGGGTGACTACTTTTACGGTAAGACCGGCGTGCAGAATGTCCCCTGTGCAACCCAACTGACCGTCATATTGCAGATAATGTTTTCACGACGCATGACGACAACGCCAAAGTCTACGACCATATCGCTAAGCGGCTAGTGCGAAGGGTCATGGAGGGGTACCACGGGACCGTTTTCGCCTACGGCATGACAGGCACTGGAAAGACGTTTTCGATGCAGGGCACAGCATCCTCCCCCGGCGTGATTCCTCTCGCCATAACCGACATCTTCTCGTACATCCGTGAGACTCCGTCCCGAGAGTTCCTGCTCCGCGTCAGCTACTTGGAAATCTACAACGAGAGGATCCACGATCTGCTAAGCATGCCTACGGGAAATGGCGTCGGGGGTGCAAGCCAGCAACAGGAGGAGATCAAGCTTCGGGAGGACAGCAAACGCGGGGTTTATGCGAGTCCTCTCAAGGAGGAGATTGTGCAGAGCCCGACGCAGCTCCTGCGTGTAATTGCCCGTGGCGACCAGGCACGTAGGACAGCGAGCACCCAGTTCAACGCCAGGAGTTCGCGGAGCCACGCGGTTGTCCAGATTGTCGTGGAGAGCAGGGAGCGTGTTCCTGGTAATGCTGCTGGGGACAGCAGACGCCAAGGCCTTCCGCCAGGCGGCGTTCGCGTTTCCACGCTGAGTTTGATAGACTTGGCTGGTTCGGAAAAGGCTGCCGAGTCTAAAGAGCGGCGCCAGGAAGGCTCGCATATCAACAAGAGCTTGCTCACGCTGGGCACGGTCATTGCCAAGCTCTCCGAGCAAAAAGACAAGGACGGAAAAACCGCTGATAAGGACGGGAAGCACTTGCCCTATCGGGATAGCAAGCTCACGAGGTTGCTGCAAGGAGCACTATCGGGCAACTCGCTTGTCAGCATCCTCTGCACCATCCAGATTGGCGCTGCCGGGAGCACTGCATCCGCAAACACCCACACCAACGAGACGCTCAACACGCTGAAATTCGCTTCTCGAGCCAAAAACAGCATCGTCAGCCACGCAAAGCGCGCCGAGGAGTCTCTAGGCCCTGGTGGAGATGGTGGAGCAAGAGTATTGCTCGAGCGCTATCGGATGGAGATCATGCAGCTCCGGAAGGAACTGGAAGCTCAGGCCAAGAACAACAGTAAGAAAGAAGCGGAGGAGGAGAAGGAACGGGATGCGGAAGAAGAGAGGGCCAGAGAGAGGGAAGCCGAGCAGCGCCACGAGGAGCAAATGCTAGAGATGCAGCTGGCTCGGACTGCGTTGAAGGAGAGGATAGACCACCTCAATCGGCTCATCCTCAGCTCCAAGTCAATAGGGGTCAATGCGAGTGGGTCCTTCAGCGCCCTCGGCATCCACCCCAGGTATTCGCAAGGGTCTATCCGGTCTTCCATGGCCACCTCTAATGGAGGGACGCTGAGCCTCGAAAGGACCGCGTCCACAACTTCAGCGGCTTCGACAATTGGCCGCAAATCCGCCGGCCATCGCTCGTCTGGCGGTTTGGAGCCGCCCGCCGCCGTGGATGACGAGGATAGCATGGGCGAGTTTGGGGACGGAACAGCATCGCTTGCGGCACAGAACCGTGCGCTGCAAGCGGATCTTGCCGACAAAAACCGATACATCCAGACACTGGAGAAGCGTCTCCTCCAAGCGCGCCGCGCTAGCTCGTCGCGCACCTCGATCGGGCTGTCAGCAGGAAAGGGGATCATGGTTGGTGAGGACCACAGCGTGGCCACGCTTCTCAAGGAGAAGGATGCCGAGATCGCCGAGCTCCGAGCCCGGCTCGACGACAAGGACCGAATGCTCACGGCGCTGCGCAGCGCGGCGAGATCGCGGGATCACGCCGACCGGGTCGACTCGCGGGCCGAGGTGCGGTCCCCCGAGATGCGATCGCCAGAGGTGCGCACGTCGCTGATCCTCGACAGCAACCCGGGCCCGGCGCCCACGGGGAGCCCTCCGGCGCCGTCGCTGCTGAGGCAAGTGTCACAGCTCCGAAGCCGGACACGGAGCGTTGATGAAATGAGCCGAATGCTCGACGAGATGATTCAGGACCGTGTTGAGAGTGGCCAGCTCATTCGCGGCAACAGGGGCAGCGTCAGAATCGCCCCTGTCTCCCCCGAACAACAACGGGACCGCAAGGAGCAGCAGCAGCAGTTCTCTCCGTCGCCACCATCCGCGGCAGGCCAGCCCCCCAGCCCGCCTATCCAGCTCCAGCTCCTGTCTAAGCAAAGGACGTCGTTTGTGTCGGAGTTGCAGAAGTCGATGGCTATGGAGGTGTGAGAATTGGTTGGTGGATGGTTTTTGTCTGGTGGGACTGATGGGCAGGGCAAGCTTCCATGGTGGAGTGATGTGACTTGCGACTTGCGGGAGGGTGTAGAATCCTCAATATAGGAGTTTGAGGAGTGCGTGGTTGGGAGGATTCGTCTTCTTTTGTCTTGCGTTTTCTCGCTTATCGTTTTCTCGTCTTGGCTGGACTTGTTCGTTACTGTTGTCTTATACCCGAAGCTTTTTCTCCCTTTTGTTTTTCATGATCGATCGATCCTTCTTGGCTTGTGGGATGGACTTTTCTCTGTGGTTCTGTTTCGTTCATTCTTTTCTCATTTTTATAAAAAGCCTTTGGTCTCGGGACCGGGCCGTCTGGCCCTTTTGGTTTTAGCTCCGCGGAGAGCAACTGTATTTGTACAATACCATTACTGCGTTAAGAGAGGGAGGGAGGGTGAGATGGTGATGGTGATGGTGATGGGAATGACACCATGAGGCGACGAAGAAAAGTCCGTCTGGCTAATTAATGGGATGAAGCAAGCAAGAAGAATATTTCTAAACGTTCTTGGTCTGGTTGACCGTCTGACTGTTTTGAGTTTCCGTCCAGTCTCGTTGAGTTGATGTGTGGTTGCCGCACCTGTGAGGGATCTGCAGCTCCCGTCCGCGGTTGCCGGACCGGGATAGTGTCTTGTCAAGGAGTGAGTAGAAACCGGTAGATGTAGAGTGTCGGATTTGGTGCTTTGCGTCTCGAGCCCGGGAGGGACACACAGGCAGACAGGCACCCGGTAATTCCCTACGCGGACGTTGGGATCCTGGAGGGGAAAAGGTGAACACTGCAGAATGAATGAACCTCGCCACGGACGCAGAAGTTTACAGATACTTTGATGGGATCTGGTCGTCTTATCACTCCATCCTGTTTATGGCTCATCTCTGGTGTCTAGACGCATTGTGAACCGCTGTGCTGCCCTGGATCGGTGGAGACAGGGGGCCGCTCGAGTCAGCGGCTATGTACATTCATGCACTACATACAATATGCTCTGTCCGTGCTGGATCTTGGGACGGGACGGCGCATATGTACCTTAATGCAACTCTTCGGGTCCATGTCGTGCTTCATGACACAACACAAATCTTAGCAGGAAGGCGTTTGTTGCAAACAGCGGTTGTTCCAAACAGCGGTTGTTCCAATAGGCGGTAAACGTTATGTGTCTAATTATCCTGGCGGCAGCCCCAATGAAGTATATGGGGTCTCTTGTCTGTGCTCAAATACATACAGTACATACATACTTCGTCCAAGGTTGGTTGAGCAAGGAGTGTCGTTCAAGCTGTGGAAGCTTCAGTATAATCAACACTTCAGTAAAATGAAGGTGGCCCAGTATGCCACACGGACGCTAAGAGTTGGTGTTGACCGTCTTGAGCCGGGCCGAAGTTGTATTTTAGTGGGGATCCCGGAGCAAATTGCGGTGCCGAGTCCCAACGTCCGGGCCGGCCCGTCTAGGAGACTTGCCCGAACGTTACGTGCCGGTTTCATTGTCAGCATCATTCATCCGTAGTAGTGTAATGTCATAACGGAGCATGAGAGAATGAGTCAGGCGATTACCGCAGCAATTGCTACAGCTTAGCTTCGCTTCCTAAAAGACAGTTTGTGACGGAGAAAAAAAATCGCTGATGATGATGCCTGGCCGAGCAACCGCACGGTCTGAGCGAGAGCAGGCCCGATTCCTTGGAAAAGCTCTCCCTCTCCGGTACACTACCTTCGTACTGTAACGTTACGCAAAAAGGAAGGAGGAACCCCGGAGGCTGCTTGTGCTTCAACGCCTCCTTGCAGCCGATGTCATCGACCAAAGGGCAAAGTTCGAACCCGTTCCTAGACAACCACTGCACAGTACCTACTTCGTACTTCGTACGGCTACGTATGCGCCGTGGTGACCTCGCCAGTTGAATAATGTTACCGGGGAGCCATGTGCGGGCCACCCTCGCAACTTGTAATATCCTCACTTCCAGTGTTTGGGAAAAGCTGACACTGAATGCCTACACACGTACATACACATTCGTACCTCCCTATTGCATGCTTTTCTCTTTAGACCTTGGATGAGCTTCGTAAGGTGATTACCATGGAACTATAGGGTGATGACGAACCAAAACCTGTAACTTACGGATAGTTACGGAAACCGACCGTGCTCTGAGCTCTCAACGGGATGTCGCCGACCTGCTGGATGAGGTGACATTCCCCGCGTGCCAATTGGGTGATTGCCCCGACTTTAGCGCGTTTCAGACCTGACCAGGGTTGCAATGAAGATCGGCTGCTGCCCCGCTGTGCGCGAACCCTGAGACCCTGCAACCCGCAAGCATCAACCGGCTGTTTGGTGCAGCAGCAATCACAATCCGCCAGCTCCACCAATAACCTTATAAGTTATCCCGTCTCTCCGTCTGCCGTTTTCCCGGTTCGAGCAGCGCAAGGCCCGGGTGATGCCGTCAGCTTTGATGATCCCGCTCGAAATCCCGGATCCTGTGTTTGTAGTGTAGTGTAGACTGCCACATCATGGAAACATCACGTTTGAGTTAGGTACTCAGTTCGGAGTACATAGGCGGGTACCTAAGGTCTTGTGTCTCCGGATCTTCTGGGGTCAAGAACTGCCATGCCACTTCAAGCTAAAGGTGGGGTATGTCGCCTACGTTTTTACAGTTGCGCTCATCGCCTCTCGCAACCATGCGCCGGAGAGACGGGAATGCAGTGGGCCATTGAGAGGGTTCAGCCCCTGAGCGAAGAGGTGCATAGGATCGACACTCCACTGTGCCTCGGCGATCCATTTTCCTTCTCGCCTCCTGTCCATCATGTGTGCACTCGAGAGAGCGCGTGATTATTCATTCATACCTTGTGCCGTCCACGGGCCTCAGTTGAATGGTTGTGACTTGTGACATCAGCATAGGCTCTCGAGCGGATTTGGAGATGCGATTGAAGATTTGTTTGAAGTTGCATTTTCCTCGTCCGCGTCCCCTTCTTACTCGGATGTATGAACTATGAACGAGGGAGGAACCCATCTGCCTATGCCCGATTCATTACCTCGCTTCGCTGAAAGTAGCTCCGGCCGTCGGTTACAATCTCATCAGAAAGAAGCCAACATATGTTGATAATTCACCGCAGCCTCCGTCGGACTCACTTCTCTCAATTTCGGAGCTAACTACCGAGTAGCGGTGGAGGCATATATGGGAAACGAGTCCGCCTTTCTGCTAAGCGGCGTGTAGAGCTGGATCCTCCTTCGGTGGCCGTTTGACTTTGAGCTGCCACGCGCCAGCAGAGCGTTGCGCGATCGTCGCCAGGCTCGCACTGCCCAACTCCCGCCGTTTGCCTAAGTTCAAGGGATACTACCACGGAATTACCAACTCAGTGCACTCTATGAACCCATTACCGGTACAGTAATCCATAGCAGAACCTGGAGCCAGAACTTGCCTCTGGGCGCCGATCTTTCTGCTGGACCCGGAAATCCGCCCTGCCACCTTCTCACCACTGTCCTCGACTTCTCGGACCTTGCACGGCGCCACGGCACATGGTGCGTGTATAAAGGGTCATATTGGCGGGCTGCCGATCCAGGCTTGACGATTTTCAATCCCGACTCGCCTCGACCTCGGAGTCGTCTGCGCTGTCCTGGACCCTTCAAATAATTCCATGCGTGTTCTGACCATGATCTCTCCCTACCGACCACATTCCACTTCTCAACCGTTTCGACTGGATCGATACCCGAACCGGCTCCGCTCTGCCATATGAGATCGCCGTGGCCAAACCGCCTGGCATCAGCGTCAACTCGCCCGTCCATCGTCTGTTAGCCACGAAGAGTACATCGAGTGTGCCGGCGAGCCGCAGCACCCTCTTGGACTGGGCGCCTTCCTTTTCGTTTCTTCCGATCGACATTCTTCTTCCATTGTCACTCTTTCCGCGACCCGGATATCGACAACCTCCGGGTCTCTTTCCTCAACATGCCGCCAACTCTTGACCTCAGCAGGAGATCACATACCAAAGTAGTCGTCTCACCCCCCCGAATCAACCTCCGCAGAGCCGCGTCTTACAACCATGACCGGGGACCCCTCTCTTCAACATCATCGCGCTTTAACTTCAACCACTTGGTATTCTCACCGCCCCCGTCCCCGGGACTGCCATCACTTTCTCCGCCCTTGAAGAAGGCAAACCGTGGCCTGTGTGGCGGCATTACCCCGCTCAGACTTGCCCGTTATGCCATCCGAATATCCAGCATCTTTCTGGTTTTCTATGTCTCCCTGGTATTTTTCACCTGGCTCTTCGGTGAGCCCGTCACGACGCCGCCCCAAACAGTGCCTCAGCCCCCGGTGGTAAAACCACTCTCAGGGACTGTGGATCAAGTCAGCATGGTATCGCAAAAGGACCCGCCAGATTTCCCAACTCCGATCGTCATAACCGACCATCGAGGAAGGGCAAAGTGGACGGTATCTATTCCGGCAGGCTCCGGCTTTCCCCTAACCATGAGTCAGTACGCGGATATGTGCGTCAGATGCCACCAAGTAGCGTCGCGGGCTCGCCAACTGCGGTCTGAAGGGATTGGACTGCAACATATGTCTCTGGGTTTCTCAGACGCGACCGACCACGGATTTATCGATGTCCAGGAGGCTCAAACAGCTGGCTATCTTCCTTCTCCCACAGCCCGGGTCGGTGTGGTCAGGGAAGAAGGCACCGAGAAGCCTGGATGCAAGAAGAGCCTCACATTTGTCCTCGAGTCAAACGACGCCGGCCTCGGGAAGACGCTCATGATGTTGTGGACTGCGTACGGCCTGGCCCAAGAGGAGGGGCGAGCTTTTTTCATTGACGATACCAGATGGTCGTATGGGAAGTACACGGCCATCTTCCAGCCGCCACCTGATCCAGATTGTGCTGCACCTTCAGGTCACGAGATCCTCCCGTGTCCACGGCAGGCCCGACATCTGGTAGCATCTGCTGCGACGGTCGATGTGCTATATGACAGCTTCATCAAGGAGTTCGAAACCTCGTCATCCGAGTCGCACGAGCGAGCCCTTCGAGAGAGGCAGTTCGCCCTGGCCCGCCAGGGTTACGAAGCCCTCTTCCGATTAAACAAGGACGATGGCAACTACGTTGATTCCCGTGTCCGCGACCTGCTGGCCAAGAGGATAGTGCCCAAGACCAGAGGCCAGCGGCACGGGCTGGCGATTGGCGTGCACATCCGCCGGGGCGACCTCCATCCGCTCGAGTACCAGTACCGGCAATCGTACATTCCACTCAACGTGTACAGCGAAACGGCGCGCGACATGATCGAGGCCAGGCTCAACCGCACGGGGCCGTTTGGCGCTGAGGACAAGGCGGCCAAGGCGCAGAGCTTTGTCGTTGTCGCGTCCGACGACCCCATGACGTACGAAAGCGCCGAGCTGGCGGGCGCCAGCCGCGCGCAGGAGCGCATCCAGCTCGCCAGCAAGCAAGCCATCCAACAAAAGGCCACCGGTACCAACCCGCCGGACCGGTCCGTGATGCACAAGTTTGTCGACGAGACGTTTGGCTGGGAGGGCGGTTTCTTCGCTGCCATGTTTTGGAACCTCGGCACGTCATCACGGCGCCCGACGGCCGCGTCGGCGTCGTCCCAGGCGGTCGCCGGCGGTGCTGTATCGGCATCCGCATCGTCGTTGCCAGCACCGACTGCAGAAACCCTCCGGCTTAGGAGCCTGGTTGGGCGCGCCTACATGATGGACCTGGCGGTGCTGGCCGATGCGAGCGACGTGGTTGTTTGTGCCGTCAGCGCTGTGGGCTGCCGTTTGCTGGCCGTCATGATGGGCTGGGAGAGCGCCATGGAGGACGGGAACTGGGTCAACGTCGACGGCGGCTATGGGTGGATGGGCCTTGAGTGGTAGAATCTGGAGAAAAACAGAGAGCAGCTTATTCAGGAGCATAGCATGTAGCATGGCGTTTTCCATTTTCTTTTCTCCGGCATCATGGGATGGCGTTTCTGGTGGTAATTTTCCGCATTCTGGGCAGCCCCAAGGTGCAAGCGGCGTTGTTTTCTTGTTTTTTTCTTCAACCAAGGAGCATGATACCATAATTGCGCCTTCCACGAGCGTTCTAGCTCCTTTTCCATGTCTGGATGAGTCCGGCCATGCAAGCTTCTGTCCATCCCACCATATTCACCATGCTATAGCCTGTTGTACTTGTACTGCGTAGCACACTACAGTATTATACCTTATCGCATGCCAAACACTGCACCCAATAGGCGTTCCTCTCGCAACCGTTTTGGCAGGGAGAAGAGCAGCCAACAAGACTCTGAACCAGAAGGTACATACGGGACAAGACAAGCGCCAGTCAAGGTCATCATGGTCATGCATGTCGGCTCCTGGGACAGAGCGATTCCAGCAGCCGACCCGGCACGGTCCGATCTTAAATTCACACTCTAATCCTTCTAGTTACTGTATCAGAACGTTTAACTACAGACTGGCTTTCAAAAACACGGGTATTTTATTAAGCTAAACCCCCGTAAATTGGCTGTCGAACACGGACCACCCTTACCAATTCCTC